CTTTTGTTTTGTTTTGTTTGCGATTTTCCTCTACTCATCACACTCGTTGATAATTATTATTTCCTAACAGTGTCTGTTTTCTTCTCCTGTCGTTTCCATTTTCTTTAATAATATTTTTCTTTACTTCTATGTCGGATTTTTGTGGGGGGGGGGGGGGGCCGCCTGGTTCTGGGAGGTCACGTTAAACCGCCACGAAGATAATCAGTAATGGGGGGTTCCTTTATACGATATTTTGATACCCGATTTCGAAACATTCCTTATTACTTTTGGTCGGTCTTCATGTTTCTGCAGTGTGGATGTTTTGTGACAACACTGGCAAGCATATTTCTGTACTCACATTTCTTTTGTTCTTCAAGCATGAATATAGAGCAGGATTGTATAGGACCTTGGTATGAGCTGTTTTTAATGAACGTCCAAGGTCTTTGTTGTGTATTGCATTTCGTTGAGAACCCTTTCTCCTCGTGCGCTATCGTGGCTTGTCCTTTTGTTTGGCACGGACAGGGTGTTGAGTATCCACAAGGATACCGGCAGAGTGTCTATTAGAGAGGACGAGGCTACTCCGAGGCTGACAATGGGGAAGGTTAACACAGGGCATAACTGTCAACCCAGAACGGCCTTTTCCCCGGTTGTCCGACCTGTGTGTGTGTCTTTGTGTAGTTTTTAGTCCCCTGTTCACTTCTGTAGCCCCAGTAGTCTACTGTGCTCCCCGGAGTCTCACACCGTTTCTTTATGCATAGAGAAAGGCGGATTTGGCCGTTTGTTGCGACATCGCAAGGTGAGCCACGTTAGCAAGTCCTGCGACAAAGGTTACACGCAGGCAGGCCAACAGAGAAAGAGAAACCAAGGGTTACCGCTCTAGAGCGGAGGAGAAGGAGGACCTTTATTCCAATTTCATTCTATAGCAAATGCCGGTAGGGTAGGCTCATACACCGACTTCTGGTTCCTTGGAGGGGGGGTTGTTGCTATCAATCTCAGGCATGGAGGTGCTTACAAGAATGGAATGAAGAGCTAACCCTAACTCTACCCAACACGGCAAGAACCAAATTGACCAATTAGGGCAGAATTCAATCACATGACAACTAAACAGTCATTGGCTGGTGCTGACTAATCGTACGATTCTCCTCGGACGGATCCGGTTGGTTGCTTGGAAGTCAACCTCAACTTCAACTTTCTTGTCCAAATAATATCACACCACCCTCGCTCTCCAAACCGCAACTACTACTATTTCGAAAAGCCATTGGCAGTCGGCACAATGTTTGCTCAGCGGACCGCCTTCGCCCTCGCTAGGCGCACCCCCGTTAAGGCTCTTGCCCGACGCTCTTTTTCCACATCAATTGTCCGACGTATGTGCCCGCTCTGTTGACGATTTTCTCCCGTCGATCTTCACATTCGCCCAATTGGCTTCCAACTGCCGTCCAGTATATGGCCAATGCCACAGGGCACTTTCTGATCTGGCAAGTGTCTGAATTGCCTGCTAATTTCAAGTTTTCTGTTTTTCTAGGTGATGCTGGGAAGCCGGCCACATCCAAATGGGACCCCAAGCCCGGCGAGCCTATTGGCAAATTAGTTTCTTTCGAAGGTTAGTCAATAGATTCTGGCCGTTCTAAACACCTCTATCGTCGTCTCAATTAGACATTTGGAATTGAATATGGTCTTACGGGACATTGATTCATTCCGAGCACTTTGTCATCACTGTTATCGGAATAACATTGGCCCATCCCACTTGAAAACAAGCTTTCTAACTGTTCGGATATAGATATCGCGGAACAAACTGACCTTCTACCCCCCGGTGCGAAGCCCGGAACCATGCCTACGGACTACGAACAAGCAACTGGTTTGGAGAGAATTGAACTTCTAGGGAAGATGCACGGAATTGATGTTTTTGATATGCGACCTCTTGATGCGTCGAGAATGGGTGCGTGACATTTAGTGTTTCCTTCCGCATCTCCTCCCAATATTGGCTAGTGTGGCTGGGATCGCGGGGTAATATTTGGGACTAAGTCGATATGCGAATTTGGCAGGAACCTTCGAAAACCCGATTATAGTTAAATCTGGAGGCGATGAGCAATATGCCGGATGCACTGGATACCCCGCCGACTCCCATGATGTTGTGTGGCTCACGGTAAGGATGCTCCCAGTCGAAGTTCCATTCTCCTCCTGTTGTTATGCATATAATTTTGCTTTATAGGCAAATAGATGAATGTTTTAACTAATGCATATTCTAGGTATCCCGCGAGCGACCAATTGAGCGATGCTCAGAGTGTGGCAACGTCGTTAAGATGGACTATGTTGGACCTGAGGACGATCCCCATGCTCACGGTACGTAAACTTCGTCGTTGCATTGATTCATGTCTTAGATCTGTCAATTTGTCGTTATATTCGTATTTTCAAGTTACCTAGCATTACCCACAATACTGACGTTTTTGCTTTCTAGATGAACACCACCAGGTCCATGAGGATCCCAAGACCATGGCCGACTTCGTCAAGCCCGAATACTGGTATAGATAAATAGATACCGGAACCGATTTACTTTGAGAGAATGAGAAAAGGTTCTTGACCTTGTCTACCTGCTCTGAAACTTGAATCCACAGCGGACCTAATGTAAAACGTGTCAAAACAGCAACTTGCCATAGTCGGTTTTGTTTCTTTCATGTCCACGCACATGCGTGCAAACAACCTATCTCTCCCAGTGTCTTTCTCATGTGCAATCTTAGTTTATTGCCCTCCTGTGGGTCATATACCGACTCTACTCCATCTCCTAGCTGACATTTACCTTCTTATTTTCATATGTAGATTATTGCAGCTTTTGTATTACACCATGAATGAAGGCGGGAATTCTTTTTTTGAATATTTGAGGTTTTCGATTGTTGAGTGCCTGGTATCACATGTTGGCTAGTACCGCCAAATATCCAGGTGTAGCGCAAAGGAGCTATGAACCGATTTGAGAAAAGATTTTAGCTACGCGCTTATCTAAGTTCAATGTCGATTCTGTCCGGTACAACTTCCTGGACTTGGTTGATCTGCAATCGCCAAGACCGGTTGGGAGAGCCCAGAATACTAGACGATGCATATGTGTTGTGACATACATGCCATCAATAGCCATCATCGGAGATTATCTTAATCGCTTCAGTTGACACCTTGCTCAGTATATCGTATTCGATCTAATCGCCCGTACTTAAAATATGTAGAACACCAGTACAGTACATGCACCTATTTCAACCACCACATAATCATCAACTGTGACTAGTTCGTTAAGATATCGCTTCCCAGCCTCTGACCCTGTGTCTAATAGAATATGCCCATCACAATCAACAACCCCGCCTCTCCCTGCATTAAGTTGAGTCCACCTTGAGTCCCCTTGAGTCCCCCCGGAGTGGCATTAGCTCAGCCCTATTCGCCAGTTCGGCGTTCCACAACAAAGCCTCCCCCTCTACCTAGATGTTGTACCATGCCGGGATGCATGTTCAAACTTTTCTTGTTCATCCACACGGTCTCTCTGCATTTGACTCCTTTCCCACCTGCTTGCCCCCTTCTTTTCTTGAGAGACGCCGATAACGGTTAACCGTTGAGACATAGCGCTCGTCAGTCGTTACGCTGCGTTGTGTCTGTTCCCGCCTTCACTTTTCACACGAATTCTTTTTGTACCCTTCAACCTGCAGGAGAAAAAAAATAAATAATAAATAAAGATGGATCAACAGCATCAATTTGACTTTTTCCTCTTCATATTTCTGCCATTGCCATGAAAACGGGCGTGTTGTTCTTCTGGCTGTCCAGGGTAATATTCATCGTGGTGGTAATTTGGGATTTGAACAGTACCAACTGGACTACATAGGGAAAAAGCAGCCGCACATCACGGCGTATTCGTCTCCCTACGCATATGTATGTATATGCATAAATGCATATACGTGCGGCGTTGAATGCATATCAAGCGCGAAAAGATGACCCTTCCTTTGGAAAAAGCCGGGGGGATCCAATCAGTATACACCGGTTAGTGCTGCAGAGCCACATACTGTACATACATTCTTGATGCCATCCCAAGTAAGGTCTTTATTGCAAACCTTTGGTTTCACTCGCCCAATTCGATTAAAGCACTATTCACATGAACCTTTGTCATCGATATCCTTGCTCTCACAAGACGGTGGTGATCTGAAGGTTGTTGAATTGAATCATTAAAGACAAGGGGAGATGTGGTGTCCCTTGTTTGTTGAATTTGAACTGTGCCCACCACAGTACTACCAATGAATACATTATGGTACACCCAAATTTTTCCAGATTTTACCGATCCAAAACATCGGTTCATCCAGTGAATAATAGGAAAAGTCCTGGAAGTTCAAGTAGCTTGGAAGAAGGCCACTAGCAGAGCAACAGAATGGACAAATATGCCTTACTGGAAATCCTGTGAAGCATCTGGGCAGTTGAAAGGGTAGAGAAAATTTTGAACTGTGCTAGAGTTAAGTCATCAGAAAGCCCTCTATTGAGTGGTAACGGGGTGTCTACGGGTAGCACCTGATGTATTTATGCAACTTAAGACTAAAGAGAATAAAATTTCTCCGTGCTTTCAGTAGTAGGTACTAGCTAGAGGCCGTTGAACATAATTCAAACTGCCACTGCAGGTATCCCCAAATAGACTTGGTAATGCATGAGAGTCAACGCTTAGACGCACGCTGTGGAAGCAGCCAACCCTTAGATATACCAATATGCACATTATCGACATATAGGAGGAGCGTAATAGATGGATAGTGACTTCTCATTTGAAGTGTTGCAACTCTGCTATCTGTCCGAGTAACTTCTCGAACAAAAACGACTGAAAACGGTGCGATCGGGTGCCACGTAACCCGCCTGAAACACCGAACATTCCAAGCCGTGCACAGCAGCGGGTAGGGTATTTTCATACCCGAACGAATAGAAGAGAGTTGTTTCCATGACTATGGCTCGTTGAGGGCAGGAGTGGTATGGAGCTGGATGGGGATACTCAACACAGGATGGTAGAAAGATTATGGGCCGTCCGCAAGGTGAATACCGCAAACAGTCCATCTTGGAAAATGTATTCAGTTAATATACGTGAGTATACAGGGATCGGCAAGGCAAAGCTTCACAAAGTAGGCGGATCAACCTGGACCCGATTCCTTCTGATGGCGCAGGGACGATTTATAAAATCAGACAGAAAGTGGGATTCGAATTTTTCATCGCGCAAATTCATACGTTCGGAGGAACCATGCCTAGCAAAATGATCCATCGTTTGAAAATATGGGATGTTAGAAAGGGGTCTGGGGTTAAATAGCTAGAGATGTTACCTGTTAGTTACGTTTAACCTCAATCTCGATAGCTAGAGTTAGTTCATTTAGGAAGAGCCTAGGAGTGTATTCACACACATATCTTAAGTCATTCCAGCATTCGTATACCAAGATAACTTCGTCTTCTGAAAGCAAACTAGGGTAAATCAAGCATGCGGGGCACATAAGGATAGCACCTAGAAGAAATCGAACTCAGAACGACGACACAGATTTCTGAAAGCCTAACATCGTTGCCACCACCGGCGGTTTGAAGGGAAGTTTTGGATTGGCCAAACTAGAAGTCCGCCTGTGCACCCAACAAATGCGGATAGAGAGTGATTTTGCAAGTGAGCCTATCGGATCGAGCTTGGTGACTCGGAGACACCGAATTCTGCAAGTAAATCTACAACGCAAACTTCAGAGCCGGGGTGGGGGGACGAAAGAGGCTTGCTGAACCGACAATCCGTCCGTTAGGAAGACATTGCCAGCTGTTGGTCGAACCTAGGTCAAATCCCTGTGTAAATTTGAAATACTCAGCGCCTTCATTTATTCAGAAAGCTAACACAAAGCTCAATCAATACTCAAAGAGAAAGAAAGAGATGAAAAAAGTCATGAAAAATACCTCCGAATTTCACTCGTCACCGGAGGGGAAAATCCAACAACTGAAACGACCGGGATGATTGATGGGAACACATCCAACTTCCTTGCTGTTGGTGAGGCACAGAGGATGCGCAAAGTAGAGGAAAGATACAACAAGAAGAAGGGGAAATTCTTGTCCTCCCGCACAAAATCATAACATTCCTGTAGCCGGGTTGATTTTATCCAATCAAGGGTCCTCCTGTATCAAACATAGCGACCCGCTGTGTAAAAGGTAACCATGTAGAAAATGCAACGAGTGAAACTGCATGGCTGCTAAATTTGGTGTGATAGTTAGCCACCTAGCAACACTTGCAATGGTTAGAATTAGAATGGACTTTGATGTCTCCTGGCTTCGGTATGCCATAGATATTGTTAGGTCTTGGGAGTTCACTGGTGTCTCGGCCACTGATAGAAAAGCCCAACGGTGTATCCCCGGATATATATGAAAATGAAAACAGAAAAAAATAACGACGTTGTGTGTGGGTGTTGAAACAGGTTTGGTTCTTCTGACTTGATGTGACTTTGACAGCTACTTTGAATGTATATAATGCTTCAGAAGAGGAAGAGAATGGGAGATTGAGAGAAAGTACTTGTGTTCATTCAGAAATGAACCAAGATAAAATCCATCCTCAAAATTGAGAAGTTCGTCCAACCAGCTAGCATTAAAAGAGCAAAAACGCAACAGATGAACAACCAAGTCAGCTCTTATCATGTAAGTTATTCTGTAGCTTTCATATTGTGCATGTTGATCGCTCAACTTCCTTTCTGACATTTCCTTACACACTACTAGCAAAAAAAGTAGGGATCCAGAAGCAGAGGAGGATGCCTGTAGATGGCTTCGATGAGGAATAACAAACTTAGAAGCAGAGACAGGGAAACAGACAAGAAAAATGACAATTGAGGAAAAATGATATGTGATGTGAAGCTGCAGTTCTCTCAAAATTTACTCACTTTAACATGTCCCACGTGTAGTAATTGTGCCTGAATACATGAAGAATTAAATAGACCATATTAAAAAAAGAAAAAAATGCAAAAGGCAATTTAAAGGGGTGGGCAAGAGGCAAGGGGCCCAGAATAGAGGATCCGAAACAGAAATCGGAGTGACGAATGAAGCCTGCCTTTCTAACTTACAATAACCAGTTGTAGTGGAGTCGCTCTATGCCATACTGGGTTTTATTCCTTGTGTGTTCTGAAATGCTAATGATTAGGGTCAAATGGATAAGAAATGAGTAGTACATACATACATATAAGCAATTGTGCATGCAAAATAGATAGGGATGAAAAACTCATAAATGTTGTTTGGCCTAGCTTATTCACCAGGTCCCTCCCTCTATCCATTAACTATTTATCTAACGCAGAAGGGGTGTTAAACTCCCTGACACCTCCCACTGCAACTCATGATTAAGGTATAATAAGTTCGCAAAGATTATGCAGAGACTATGATGTTGCTTAGACGCATGTATTTAATGTAATATACTTTATCCCATGTGCTTCTGTCCAATTTTCAGCCTTCAATCTTTCCCATCCCCCTCTCTCCATGCAGTCCAACTTTGCGCAATCGCATCCCAACAACACTCGCCTCAGTGTCTTCCTCAACTCTGTCAACGTTCAACATCTCCAAACGACACAAAAAATAAAAAAAATAAAAATGAGATAGGTATTTCACAACCTTCACATTAACATTTACCCACTTGGTCAATTTATTATTTTGGCCTAGGAGTTAAAGACGAAGTAGACGAAACTGGGAAACAGGTAATACCCCCCCTTCCAAGAAATATCCCGCCTGTTTTATAAACGCGCGCGACTGGATGATGCACTCAGCTCGTCCACGAGAGATATAGGCCGTTTGCAGAACTCTTAGAGATAACCGAGGAAACTTTGCCCGCCATTTTCTTTTGTCTGCTTGTATACAAAACTAGTCGATTTGGTTTTCCAATTGATTTTATTTGATATACCACCCGAATTTGAGATTGGAAGTAATGTAAGGGACTTAGAATAGGCATGTGGAAAGAGTGAAAACAAAGAAAAAGGAAAGAATAAAAAACCGGGGGAAAGGGGGGGGGGGAGGTTGGCCATTAGAAAATTTGAAGAACTGAATAAAACATTAAACAAGAAAAGAAGACGACTAGGAACCCAACGGTGCTCTTCGCATTCGCATAACATCTCACCCAATGAGCCGCTTCCCGAACAATCTCACCCCCAAGCACAAAACGCATTTTGATAGAAAAAAGCAAAGTGAAAAATAAGGGAAAATATGGAAATCAAAGCACCTTGAATAGAGACAGAGGAAACTGGGGTATAGCACTGCCTGAAAACTGCCTGGGCTCGCCCCACCTTGTTACTAACTGGTAAAATAAGAAGGTGTGAACACCCAGCCTAAACTCCTGAAGCCTGCGATCCCGTTTACTCATCATAAAGTTGCGGCGATTCATAAATAGTTTCCTGAAATAGGAATAACGTAAAGACGTAGAACGGATGTACAACAGCACGAGCTTGGGTGCTAATTGTCGGGAAAAAAAGGGGGTAGATATTGTAGGTATAAGTTAGTCGTTAAAACGTCATTTCCGCTGCGTACGTTAAGTGTGCTTAAAATGCTCCTTTGCATATTGCTCACAGGCCTGGTACATTCAAAAGTTAGAATAACAGAGTCTATTCAGTCAGATGGGAGGAAAATCACCTTTGCTGGCTTCCCAATCTTCTGTCCAATGACTTTCCATTTACTTGATTCGTATTCTTTGATGGCATCGCGCAGCGTTATGGACTGATGATATGTTAAAACGCTGGAAAAATGGTGGCATGTTTCATTTGGTATTATAACATACCTCCTCCTCGGTAAATTCAGCATAATGCATGTCCTGCTTGCTAGTTAGACTGACAAGGGCAGATCACAGTTTTTGCTGCAGGACAAGTAGAAAACCAACCTTGTACCAATGTTTCTTCACACTTCCTTCAGTTCGCAAGGGGAAGGTCTAGTGTAGCAAATACAATTAGACTTTTATGTTTTAAATACTCCATATGTAACCAAGATATATGAAGGTGTGACTTTTCTAGCCCGGCATGAAAAGTAAGCTGGACGAACCTTAGCAATTTCACTCCAAGTGTTGCCAGCATCGCGCATAGTCTTAAGCCGTTGCTCCTCCTCCGCCGTCCATGGGGTGTTTGTTCGACCCTTCTTCTTGACTGTGGGCTCGGGGGCGGTTGGCGCGCCAGTTATACTAGTAGTAGTGGTATTTCCCTCGCCTTCAACAGCACCTGTTAGCGGGGGAGGTGCCATGGCGGCCAAACAAGCAGTCTGGAGTGACGCACGTCGCTTCCGGGGATTTGGAGCTGCTGGGGCTGGAGCTGGCACGGGGGTGGAGATGGGCACCATAGAGGCGCTTTCGAAAGGGCCAGGCCCTGTAAAAGGATGAGGCTGTTGCTGCTGTTGCTGGTTTAGGGGATGTGTGGGTGTGTTGGATGCAACAGTCGTCTTGATGCGTTTGGAAGTTGGAGGTGATCTACGAGAAGGATGAAAATATGGGTTAGTGAACTGTCCATTCTTGAATAAACCACTTGGTCGTCCAGCAAGCTTAGCATCTAGGACGCCGCTCTTAGAGAAAAAGATTAAAGCATTCCAACCTGTGGCTTGTAGTATCATAGGAGTTGGAATTGTACGCATGGAGGGAGAGAAGGGTGGAAAAAGTGAGAGCAAGATGAGGGGAATGTAAGGCGGGATTTGTTTTGTTTACGAAACAACAGCAACAGCATAAAAAAAATAAAAAATACTCACGACATATTAGGAAGAGGAGGTCTCGAAACAAAAACCGGCCAATTCATCTGTAGCGATACGAAGATAGATTAGTTAGATTTGGCCTGTTACAACCCGGCCACTTCGTTAATCACCCTGGCCAAAAACCGTGCAAGAAAAACATTACACACTAGGATCGGAAGCGAGGAATACCGCAAGCCTGATCTCGATGATCAAGCCGGGCCAGGAACATGAAGAGAAGGGTGGGGAGCTTGAGAGATTATGGTACAAACACTGGCGAAGGAAACGGAGTATAGTTGGGAAAAAGCGATTGGTACGTGGACGCGCGTGTGGGGGAGGGCGGGATATAGAAAAGTATCACTGTGCAGGATGACTTTGAGATGACAAGGCTAAGCTGTTGTCACCAGATTTTTTTAAGAGATTTTGGGTGAAGCACACAGGGGAACAGGGGATGAACGTGAAATAGCAGAAACCAGAAAAGGTATCTATTGATAATGAGTCTTAAGAGAGACAACTATTAGGAGAACGAGTATGGAGTTTGCCGATGGGAGGCAAAGGTATAATGGCATGAATGTACGTAACGTACGTACCTCGTTCATCAGTAGGTAGGTAACTGCAAGTAGAGGGAACAGTTCATCAAAGTAAACCAGATAGCACCTGCCGATGTGGAATGCGGAAGGTTACAAGGGCACAAGTGAGTGTACGGGGGGAATCGGGGGGGGGGAAAGGGGGGCAAGTCGTGAACAGGTCGCGGGCAGAGACTTGTACGTATGTATGGGATGTATGTCGATAGCGGATGTTGTTCAAGCGACTTGACTGATGTTGTCGATGGAGCAATGCTGGAATGCGATGGGGGCGTGGCGAGCAGGCAAAGCAAGCTGGGCTGTAAGTGGGAAGATGCGGGGAACCCAAAGTTCCATCACAACCACAGCAAGGTCGGTACGATTCATACGACTGGCTGCGGGAAGCTGGATGGGTATGACGCTTTTACGAGCGCAATACGGGTGTTCGTACAAAAAAAAAAAAAAAAAAAAAAAAAACAAAAACAAAACATAATCATATCATTCTCTGTCATCTTGCCGTTTTCCACAACTAAGCACCGGTACCGTAACTACCATACTAGTACATTACAATTAGCTTCATCTAATCAACAAACCACCAAACCGACCTCTTGGCATCAATCACATTCGAGGAATAGCTTGCGCCGGCATATGCTCCGTATATGAGTTCGAAAGGGTCTACTACTTGCTATCAGATCCAGTTGACCAGCCCTCTCTGTAAGTAGGCGCGAGGACGATGACCAAAGAAATTCTTGGAACTTTAAGCTTCCTGGCTTCAGCATTTGCGCAGTTATGAGACCAAGATGTCTTGTGCATGGACTCTAACCACCATGTATCAGACCTGTATTCAAGAGAGGGGGAGAGGCATAATTGCTTTTTTCTCTCCCGGCTCTGCCTCTTTTTTTCGCTAGAGGGAGAGAGAGAGCGTTGACATGTGCCAGAAGAGCTAGAATGTGCGGAAGTCAACAATCATGGTGAACAAGTATTTCTGGCTAATTTTTTCCCTTTCCTCCAGTGCGAGGAAACAGAAATACCCAGAAAACAATTCATGGGGGTCTTTGATTCAACCACTGACGCAACCAATCGATGCCAACCTTGGAAAGTTGCGACTGAAGTCATGACCAAGCCGCTCTCGGAACCCGAGGGCGCTAATGATACAACGGAGGGTCGCAATTAATAACCTGCTTTTGCTTTTTCGGTCTTCTGGACTGGAAGCTAGCCTTTGCCCAGAAATGCTGATAGGTGTTTGTCCAACCCAGTTCTCAAAATTCGGACAAATATTCGAGGTATGACCAAGTCCTCGTTTTCAAATTTGATTGGGATTGGTAGCAGGAAGATGGCATAAAATTTAGCCAAAATCTAGTCATAAACCATTCATCTTTTGAGGGACCTTCCCTATGCTGTATTTGTCTTAGAACAGATTTCCCAGAGGGGGCGCAGAGCATTGCTCAGGTTGTTAAAGAGAAGCTCATAGGTTGTAACTTGGATGAAGAGGTGAAGATGAAACCTCGAGACTGTTCACGGAGGGGACAGGCAAGTCAAAACCATCGTTCAATACCATAAGCCAGCTTCCTTGAATCGCTCCTGCGAGCTGGATAGATGGTTGGTTCGCACAAGGTAAGGTACAAGTACTTATGATTAATTCTCCATTACGTAGTGTTGTTGGCATCGAAACTAAAGTTATTCCTCAGAAAAATAAGCTTAAAAATGATCACTCTCATGAGCAGACCCCGAGAAGTAGTATACATCTACTTATGACACGTGGTGAAGTGTGGCAGAACCCAGAAAACAAAAAGGAGGGATTGACAAGGCAACAGAACTCATTTTTGCTTTCTCGCATCAAATGTAGTCCGTACAGTACATTTATATACATACATGCATGTACTGTACCTACTTAACAGCTTCATCCGGATATGGACAAAGAGGTACAACAACGCAAGTATGTACATGGTACGACGGCAAAGTACACCCGATGGACATAGCTTAATTCAACCTAACAAGACGGGATGCATGGTCCACCGGAACTTTCTCATATATATGGAGGACTTCTGGAACCCTTCCAACAACACGTATGTATCCTATGCCCGATATACAGTTTGGATTCACTCTCTCAGTTCCTCATATGAATACCCCCCAAACACAAATAAACCCTCTAATCCCAAAAGCATACGCACACGTGTATCGAGTTTTGGATAGCGTTTCACTGTGTTACTCTTACATATAAAACAATTGTAGTGTTAGCAATGATATGGAGTATGATACCGGTCGTAAGCAAATCTTCCGAGCTTCCTGTTATTAACCTGTTCCATCTCGCCATATCTGCTAGCAGCTAGAGAAAAGCCCCTCCGAAAATGACAAGAAGAGAACGAGCCGTAGATGATAAAAACGCCCATCAAAAGGTTCGGATGAGATGATCAACCGATCCTCTGGGTACCCCGCCCGCTCATCTCGAAAATCGAGAACTGATAAGTAAAATAAATAAATAAAGAAAGAAAATGAAATTGAAATGAAATGAAATGAAAATGGAAAAAAATAAAGATTGCTGCCCTGCTATTTCTAGGTTGAGCTTGGGCAAAGAAACGATCCTCCTGATAGGCATCTAGAAGCCCGGAACTCTCATCTCCGCCTTCTTTCCTGTCAGACCTTAAAAAGCATAAGGCACGCGCTGGCTAACCACTCTTAAGGCGAGAAGAGTGCTCACGAGTGCCCTCATTTGGAGGTCATATGCATGGCGTCCATTCATTGGTCAGGTAGACGTCTATATGTTGAGTAAAATATCCCAAATGGGAATTTACTTTTCATAAATGCCTTCTAGATTGTTCATCTTTTTCTTTTATGATTTTGTTTTGAATAAAATAGAATATCGTAACACAAGAGGAAGAATTTTCAATGTCTGGAGAAATTTCCCGATCAATGATAGCCTGCGCTGTCTCTTGTACAAGCATCTCTCTATTTATTATAGAAAAACCAACTTTTCTGTGCACCCCATCAAATCCATGGATGGGATGGGATTGAACAGCTGGCTGTATGACTCTGATATTAATCTTCATTCTTTCCTTTACAGATGTTCCCTTCTGTATTTACATTCTTTATACTCTTCTCTACATTCATTACAACCTATACATTCATTAATATACTCATTTCATGTGCTGCTGCTCAGTGTGTGGGAATTCTCATCCTCTCGGTGCATTTGAACAGCCTCAATCCATTTATTATCTCTCTATTTATTATAGAAAAACCAACTTTCCCATGTAAAAAACACTGTAATGTTGACATCATGTGCATCTCATCAAAAATATTTGAATGCTCTGACTCATACAGCTCAGATCAATCTTCAAATCTTCATTCTTTTTTTCATTCTGCTCTTTTCATACATTCTCTACAGTATTTACATTCTTTATACTTTTCTCTATATTCATTTTTGATCTCTGTGTTCATGGCATGTGCTGCTAAATAATGCTCTGTAACATGATCTTATGTGATGTCATGTGCATCTCTTTGAATTTAGATGGGATTCAACAGCTGGCTCTGCAGCCTGTACAGCTTTGATTAATTTGATAATGGTGATAGAGGTGATACGGGGTGGAAGAGAGTGGTAGGGGGAGAGGGTGATAGAGGCAGTAGAGGGGGGTAGAGGGTGGAAGGGGTGGAAGGGGTAGGGGTAGAGGGTGGAAGTGGTAGGGGGGGCTGCGGGGCGGTAGGGGCGGTGGTGGTAGAGGGGATAGGGGGTGGAAGAGGTGGAAGGGGTGGTAGGGGCGGTAGAGGCGGTGGTGGTGGTAGAGGGGGTAGGGGGTGGAAGGGGCGGTAAGAGGGGGGTAGGGGTAGGGGGTGGAAGTGGTAAGGGGGGCTGCGCAAGCAGCAAAGCGAGCGTAAGCGAGCGTTTGATGCTTGTACAAAGTAGTGTAAAAATCGCAGGGTGAGTTTAAATTGCGCTGTTGTGCAGCTGTTGTTCAATGTACGCTCAAAATGATGATAGTTTTGTTTCCCTTACTCTTTGCGAACCTAATTGGAACATTCTGTTCCGTTAGTATATGAGAATCTTAGATTTGCATGTGAAAAATAAGAGGCGAGGATCGCGAAAACATTTAGGACAATTGCAATATTGAGAATATACCTGAACGAGTAATAAGAAGTGGGAATGAACAAGCAAGCGCTTATAAGATATTTAGAATGTTCTCACACATATTATTTATGTGCCTCTCTCTTTTATTTCCCGAAAACGAAGTGCATCACAGGGGCAATTGCAGGCATGGTAACATGTGTAGGTACATAACTGTGCTTTTACTATCTTGGGATAGTATGTACGACGTGTTTGTCGGTTCGCATGCATATTAAGAGCATCCGGGATAATTCTGTTCTTCAGCTAGATGAGGATAAAACAATTTGATGCATGTAAACATTACATGGCTTGGCCAAATAGATGTACAGGTACTGTACATGTACATGCAGAGGGCACGCAGTGCTGTGTTGTGTTGTAGTTATGCCATATACATTTGCACAAGGCTCCTTGATTGCATTTCCCGTGGTTTTCTATGCCGAATTTCCTTTTTTGTGTTGGGGCATCTAGGTTTCTTATCCGTCCGGGAGCGGGTTTTCATGCTTTTCATTCAACTCCGCTCCGACCCTATTGACCTTGCGTGATTAACTGCTTCTATTTGTCAAAGGAGGGCAACAATAACTAAAGTAAGGAATGGAGAGTGTCGTGACAGAACTTTGAAGGGGGGAAATTTCGGCTTGGCAGGTTGGGAACTGAGAAGGGCTACTGCGTAGGCGACAAGGGACTGAACTGGCCACAAGCTAAATCCTATTGGGCCGTGACGCGCTAACCACAAAAAGTTAGCTGCGTTAACTGGGGAAGCTTATCCTAGCAACCGAAATAGTTAAGGAAACAGGAGGCTGAAACAGAGGTGGACGATTTGGCGTATATTTTCTTCCAGGGTGTTCATCTGCATGATACGCGCGTAATGAGTGCATTGCCTTTACATGAATTATCTGTGCTTCCATGACAACAACTATTTGTGTCAGCCTGCTTGTGGGTTTGGATCATCGTGCAATGCGCTTGGGTGGAAGCTCCATCGGCGCATGCTCTGGGATATGTCTGAACGAAGTTGTTCTCCCGTGTGTGGTTGTTCCCCGGTTTCCTTTCTTTCCTCAAACACCAGCAAGGTCTGGGATGGAGTCCGCTAGAACGCCATTTGAACCTCTCGGAGCTGCAAGTCTGATTCGAAGGACCCGTCCGGTCTTTACCCCGTGGCTAAATTGCATGGGAAACTGCTGACCTAGTTTGTTCTAGGGGTTGAAAAAAGAAATATCAAAAGTTCGCAAACATTTATTATGGCATAACAGTGAAGCCAGGCTTGATTGTGACGCTACGAGTGGGTTGGTTTATGTTTGATGGGAGAGATCCTTGGTTTCAATCAGCTTCTACGAAGCCTACATCCCAAGTCTACAGTTTTGGAACTGCCCTTGCAATGCTAATAATAGTAGCTAGCTGGCGAAACATTAGAATACCTCCTCGCAATCCATCCAATTCCTAGGAATATACTCCGTATGTTTTCATCGATTTTCGACATACCCGAGACCGGGCCATGCGGGTATTTTCCCAACCTCAACAATATCATTTGCAATAACCATTCTCCCGCTAACTGCCCCTCGCGCTGCTCCGGAAGTTTGCACCACGGCAGCCAAGCCATTCTTGCCTTAGGCAGATTTTCACTACTCCTAAACACAATAATATGGGATTTCTACTGTGCATGAGCTGCTTCAAAAGTTGCATCGTCCTGATTGCTTCGAAGCCAATCCCTTCTATTTTGGATTCCAAATCGAGTTTCAAAATTCTTTTTGGTTTCCTGAATGTTTGATCCTAGGGGGCTCATCATATCCCGTGTGATTTCAGTCAGCATTGTCCACCTGCAGGACATTTTTTGTTAAATATACTTTTTGTCTTCGGAACTGGATGTCAATGCATGATAGGGACCGTCTGAGCTCTATCAAGGATTAGAGGTTGAATAGGCCATGGTGAAACCCATTCCGAGAAGAAACGATCTTGGTAACAGAGTTGGGGCAGTTGAAACGGTTGTTTGTGTCCGGACCAATCACAACCCGCCAAGCCTGTCGCCAAGCGACCCTCACATTGTCAGCGAACTGGATTGTCTCGAGGAACTGGATCTTTCTCATGTGAGATGCATGGGAATGAAGATTTAGACACCACAGGCATTGCCATCTACCATTTATGTGGCGTTGGTTTCTGTGAAAGCCTACCTGTTGGTGCCCCCGCGTTTGCCTCCGCGTTTTCGTACCTCATTCAACAGGAGAGAACCCGCTCAACGTTTTAAAGTTGTCGGTTTCAAGATGACTTCTAGATGGCTCTGTACCTGAGTTAAGCATTTGCTCTAGTTAGCGAAAGCTCTGATGCAATTCTGGGTTTTGAGCTTGGAACGGTTTGACTTCGGGGATCTCAAACGCGCACTTCCTCTTCGCCAATCTTGGCCGTTTTGTTCCAAATTATTTTTTGTCTTTTAACCTTTTTAGCGTTAATTGACGGACCATGTGTTGAATGTGTTGCATCAAAAACTTATTTTTCCCTTTCGGGTGATTTTTGAAACCGACTATTTACTGTTTAGCAATCTTCTAGAGCCCCTACCGCTTTTAGTAGATGGCTAGCTCTGTTCTGAGAACTGACACTTCTTAGGTTTTGCCTTGTGTGTGAGCAACCCCGAGTTAAAACCTGTAGGGCCGATTTGGCGCGGCTGATCTGCTCTGAGATAGGCTTAAGCCTCCCTTTGGAAATAACCATTAGCTCCTTTTGGAACGATTTCATGCAATTCTATCATTTTCTGGGAAAGATCGTAAGTGCGGCGGTCACATATCATCAATCTGCAGGGACGATTCCTCCCACTCTCTACCAACAAGCAAATTTTCAGAAACAGATCAGGCACCAGCAACCATCGCCACTCTGATTTATGCGCTACCTCTGCTAGTGTCAGGAACCGTTTTTGGCTCAGGCACAGGCTCTTTTAAATAGGGTAAATATAAGACTGCCCCATGCTGCGTTTTCAAGTTTGTTCTGTTAGGATTATTCCAAAGAGTTTGATAACTACTGTCTTTTCTTCTATATAGCAGCTTTTATTTCTGGAAAATATTGCACTGGGAATCATGTCTTCGACTATCCGCTCCACCTCCCTACCGACGGATGCTCGATCCACGACACCCCTTCAGCTAGACCGGATTGGGCACCGTATCCAAAAGCATCGAAAAACAGCTTCTGCAGGGGGAGGTCGGGCATGGACTGAAGAAGAAGTACGCAAGTCCTAGCGGTTGATGTACTCCCATGGAACTTAAAAGAAGCTAACCTCTCCATAGGAAACATATCTCATACGGACTCGCCTGCACAAAATGCCTTACAAGCATATTGCTGCCCACTTGCGCAAGACTGAACTTGCTTGCCGCCTCCATTATCATCAGATGTCATACGGCAACCGGCGTAGACGCACGGAGTCTATGTCTTCCATCAGTTCGATTTCGCCACTGCCGACGACGCAGGAATACCCTCTTGAATACAAGCCATCTGATAACATGTACACCGCGCCATCTTCCCCAAGCCCCCGGTCAATAATGCCTTCCAGAGCATCTTCCGTAGTCGATTCTCCCCAACAATCTCGCTCTCATGTTCCCATTCTTCCGAAACCAAACACTTCCGCACTGCCCTCCGTACAGTCGGCATCCGCCGCAAATATCAATAGTTCCCTTGGATTGGATACTTCCATTTTCCACAGCCAGGACAACCAGTCCAGCTCCTTCGATCACCCTGAAAGCATCGATACCATCCGACTCCGGGGTCTCTATGATACCCACCGCGATTCCTTCTGGTCACTAATTGCATCAGATTACTCGAAAAAGTTCAGCTTCCCACCTATCAAGCTCGAAGAGGCATTCTTCCACGCAATATTCAACTCGTATAGAGGCCGTGGTACATCTCCTCCTACTCCTTGCCCCAGTCCCCAGGACGCAATCCGCGAACTACAAATGGCAACAGACAACGCTGGGTTTCACGCCATCAACAGGCCATATATATCGTCCATTTCAGAGCTGAACAACCCAATAAATAGCCGCTCCCCCGTTGAGAAATGCGCTGTGGCTTCGTTGCTTACTGTTGAGAGAGACGTGTTTGCCCCAAAGGGAATCGCGAGTACTTGAACTACCAACTTGGCGCTTTACATATACTGGAAGCCTATATGGGTTATAGAAACCCTCATACGACTAGGAGATGCTCAAACATTCCCGACAGCGATGTTTATTCAAGGCCCAAATTCATTACCACCTTCTCTCGGTATTTTTCCTTGTTTCGCTTTCTCTTTCTCGGCTTCGACTTTGTATTATGATGATGATTTAATGTACTGGATCACATTTCCTATCTCCTTTTTTCCCTGTAGGTACGTAGGTACAGGAGTTTGGTGGAAGACATTTACGCTTTTCGCTCTTTTTGTCTCTCCTTTTTCTGCGCAATTTTTATTTTTGTATTTGGTCTGGTGGAGGAGCACGGCAAAGGTCATGGCCCAACGATTATGTTCGTTTAGGAACAGCTCTTTTTTTTTTTTTTTTTTTTTTTTTTTTTTTTTTTTTTTTTTTTTTTTTTTTTGTTATATAGTGTGGGAAACAGCTTAGTTGGAGTTAGAGAGGGATTTATGAAACTTTTTTGATGGTACGAAAGATGTGTACTCTGGACGAGAGGGGAGATAGTCAACCGACGCATTGTACATGTACATTACAATATATTTTTATGAATATATTTTCAATGAGAGAAATACGGCAATCTGAGAGCTGGGAATCTACGATTCGTGTGCTCTCCTTCCGTTGCCCCAGGGTTAGGTGGTTTGTAGACAGTTCACCTGAAGGACATGCACGCTCAAGAAATGAAATGCCAACGAATAGAAAGGACTCACATTCATGCACTATATAAGTGTATATAGAGTCGGTACTTTCTGCTCTCCTCTATATTGTCTCGAAAATGACGCGTGGATTGCCTAAACTATTACAGCTCACCAAGGATATATCAAGGTCAAAAAGTCTGTCTCCGTCATCTCACGATTCTCCGGCTCTCCAGGGGGGTAGAAAAACACCAACTGCAATCCCTACGCTCCGCTGAGTCCCATCCCCCGCACCCGCAATACAAGCCTGCCATGAAACAAGAGCAAACATGTGTTATGATAAATGAACACCTTTCTCACTATTATTCGCATATGTATAGCGCAATCGACTAGCTCGCAACGGTTGTGTATCGCTCTTCGGAATTTAGCTTTGAAGAGGGTGCTGTTTTCTGCAGAAATTGTTTCGGGCCGGATCGTAATCGATAGACGAGGGGGTGATACGGACCTAGGACGCTGGAAATCTCCGAGGCAAGGCGTGTAGTTATTGGCACCCTCGGATAGGTAGATTATACTCTGCACCGCATATCCAAAACTGTTCAAGGCTGCAGTCATCATCATCGTCATCATCATCATCACTATCTTCACAATTATTGCCTACGGATAATGCTCCGAAAATATGTAGGTGTTGATATACATGTATAGTTCGATTCTCTTGCAAAAATGCATTGGCTCTAGATATATTAGGAAATGATAGCGGGACGGCTAATGGGCCTCGATATCGCTTGCTGCGCCTTTCATCCAGGGATATATGAAGGGAATGGAACGTCAAATTCTAGCTACGACGACCTGGTGTTCCCCTAGGAGATCCCCATCAAACACCGGTTTTTCTTTACCCATCCTGATATTCTTTCTTTCAAAGCGAATGTTTCAAAGTAGTATAACATATTCAATTCGCTGGGGTTTCCACAGCCGCTAGGGGTTACATCTCCGTTCGAAGACTCCGTACGCAACGAACTGGAAGATGGAGGTCAAATGCACCAACTCCTCTGTCCATATCGTTATTGGGGGGTACCTGCGTTAGTTTGGATGTATGACATTATGCACTTACTATTGCCCGATCACCTCAAGGCTATGGATAGATTTCGGCTAATTCCGCTATGCTTTTGATTTCGTTTTTGTTATATTTCGCTTTCGTTCATTCGGGCAAAAGACCGCTTCCAAATATGTAAACGATTTTAAAGGGTGGCTTCTTTGACCAAAAGATTTGAAACAAGTATACCAACGACATGCAATCGATATTTTGCCTGCGGAGAAGTTGGTGACGGTAGCTGGAACAAAAAGGTCACGCCGTAGCTGTTTCATCCTCGTAGACAGGGGCCTAAACCCGATGTAAGAAAAATTCTTTGTCGGTCGTTATCAGAGTATCGGTCGAGCCCAGATGTTGGATGTTTTAAACTTTCTCATCTGCGCAGTTGGATGGAAGCTGAGATGTGAAGGTGGTCGACTGGTAGAGAGCCGCGGAGATTAGGATAGAAGCTTAGGCTATTCTACTCATCCTTCGGGTTGGTAATGGCGGCGGCCATTGTTGACCGGGAAAATCTCTCTATTTCGTTCAAAATGGCCACACATCTTGCGAGGTTCGCGGCCCCCACCCCAAGGGAAGAAAAGCTCGAGCACGCCATTGTTTAGTAAGCTGCGGATGCTGCAGGTTAACTTCATTGTATTCGAAAAGAGGTCTGTTTAGATACCTAGGGACCTAGGTACTCTTCTCATTTCAGTAGTTCCATCTTTTCCAACAGTGGAGGTCAGACCAAACAATAACAATTCAGCGGATTTCAGCCCCCTTGTTGAGAGGATCCTTTACACTCTTCAAAGGCGAGAAAACTAAAACAAGTTTCGGTCCGAGGTTTTGATGCTTTTTCAAGAGAGCTAGTGTTCCGCAGGCTTTATTTGAAAATCGTTGGTCACAAGCGGTCGATGGGATAAGAATGGGGCAAATGAGTGGCTATCGTGAACGAAAAATTTACTCTTAGCTTATTTTTCTTTTTCCGGTGCGGTCGGCATGGGCCGACGAAAATCCCGTAGTAACGGTGTGGACGAGGGTGACCTGATGGCCTCTCGCGAACCAAAGAACAATAGAACTGTGCCTGGAACAGAAAAGGTAGAAGGGCCGTGCTCAGAACGCATATGATGCTGCCGATACTAGTCCCTGCAGAAGCAGATAATCGAGCCGATTTGGTGAGATTAGTCTCAAGAGTAGGAGTTAAACCGAAGCAAAACGTAAATGCCCAAGACCTATAGCAAGTTACCAATGTGTAGATAGAGAAAGGTAACGCCTTAGTATCAACTGCGTTGGTCGGAGGCTTTTAGATTCCGAAAAATAATAAACATGACAAGAGAGGTTTTTTTACACAGGCTCTGGGCAGTATGGCGAATTCTAGTTGGATGCACGATGCACCCCAGAGATCTTAACACCCATCGCATCTCCACTTATCTTGATCGGCTTGCCCCTCCCCTATCTGATAGATCTTCATGGCGTTCTAAAAACGCAAATCATGCAGTTAATGCTTTGATCGACGGCACAGAGTAAATAATATCCCGCCGTTCGCAAGCAGTCTCGCTTTATGATTCGACAATCTGCCATGATTTTGTCCTCGTGTTGTACAGGCCCCCAAAAACTTATAGAATTACCCTGGAGTGGCCAATGTGAGCTTGCCTTCAAGCGGCCGAGGGCCAGGGCAAAATTTGTACACCCCATATTGCAATGAAATGGAGTGGACTTGAGCGAAGGGTTGAAGAAAGGGCCGTCCAGGCTAGCTAGCTCTTGAGAACCTGTCAAGACTACAGAGTAAATCGACGGAGCTCGATTCCGGGAGCTAGGGTTTTGGGGAATTGGACTGGGCCTCTCTGACTGGCGTTTGATAACAGTTAGTTAACTGATAGAGCTGTTGATCAAACTCCAACTCGCCGTCTCGTTGGGTGTTGGTTCAAGGATTATCATTAAAATCTGAATAATGAGCAACTGCGGAGGCTCTTCTTCGAGAGGAGGTATACGGAATACTCTTCGTGCCTGGTATCTGAAAAATCATCCGGACGACTCGAGTTCTCGTGGCGTTGGTTATGAGAATAGCCCAGGGGTTATAAATAGATTGGAATCACGTGCTCCCGCTGGGTCGTTTCCAAGGTTAGCTCCCCCCTAGTTACCTCCATAATCGCGTCGCTGTAAGCGCCAATCCTCGCCGCCTTGGGTTGCGCGCCCACATTTTTTCCCTGGCCATCGCCGGCCCATTTTTCATAAAGAACTGCCCCCTCCTGACTGCTGCTGTGTGCGTTTATGATACGTAACTTATACAACACATGCTGGCCACGAACCCAGAACCGGAATGGCCGGGGCGTTTATTTCCTGGATGCGATGCCCCCCGTGGTTAGCCAATCCCGCCCGTCTCCCTTTCCTCCCAACCAGCAGCAGCATATCTCAACCTCTATCTCCCCCTTGCCCCAAGTCGGTTTTATGGACTAGTAATTAACAGTATGGTGGCTCTTCCTTGGGACGCATGGGTTGTGCTCGGAATCTGGAGAACCATTAACCGGATTCCGTGTGGTCCTGGGACTGCATCGCATTTAGTTAGGGTTGGATTTTTTTTAAAAAAAAAGGATCAGGCGTTGTCTTCTAGGATAAACACCGACTATCGTCTCCTGGTCTCCTTTCGGGTAGATTCTCAAGCAGACTAACCATAGATTGTATTAGTACACCCGTCATATGTGCAGTGGATTTATACAGCCTCTAAGTCAATCCGGAGAATAACTGCAAGTATCAGTTATCTGTGGCCCAGTCAACAATCAACAATTGCTGTTTGGTATAGCCCCCATCTCCAGCAACGCTGAAAGTGGCAGGAACCGGCAATGCGGAGAATGAGGACCTGCAGCTTCTGAGAAACACCAATAGTTGCTGGCTTGCGACTTGCGGTTCTTGAGACCAGGGAGTGAGTTACAAGCCCCGCGAACCTCTGCCCAAGTGGCCGACCCGTGGCCTGCGCCGCAAGTCAGTTACTCCGCTTTGCTTTTTATTTCATTGAGCAGCATCCTTCAGGCGATGCAGATGGCATGTCAAACCGTACCTGGGCGATGAGGGGAGGAACAGATTCCTAATCTCTTTGATGGCCTCCACGTGCTCCCTCCTGTCCTTCCCTCATTCCTGACTTCATTGTCACCAACTGATATCGTCAACTTTCTCTCATGTATCAGCCAATGCGGCACTAGGCGATAGCTTCAAACCAATGCTCGGTATCTAGACATTCAAGCCGACTTCTTGGCCACTAAAAACATCCAGGATAGTTGTGATTGGGCCTAGGATTCAGGCGTTCTTGTATGTATATGTAGTTGGGAAGCAAGTAATAGCTGTGCGGTACACACCTAGGTACCTCGTTGTCTTTTACCCAACACCTCCGGTGGGCAACCCCTACATCACCCATGCTGCCGGAGCCGAATTAGACGTTTGCCACTTCTTTCAATCCTGGAGATGTCATCGAGGATCTTTTTGGGGGCTGATTTCTCTGTCCGTGTGTGGCCCTAATCCTGGATGGCGGCCGGAGAGGGCTGGCGCTTAGGTGCAGACACTCCAAAACAACCACCATGTCGCCGTTCATCATTCTCAGGTGGCACAGTTTATGTCTAGTGGGACCTTCATTGTCCAAAGGGCCGTGTATGAGCCCATCTTGGATCGCCCCATACTGCTCAAACTCTTGCGAAGTACTCCGTATCAACTCTGCAATTAACCTGTCGTTTTCGGGCTTTTGGGAGATCTGATGCGCAACACCCGAAAGCCCTGACCACCTTTCCTTTTGCAGGGGGAGAGGGGGGGGGGGGGGAGGGGAGGTCTGAATAATGTTATAATAATATATACCATCTTTGACTATAAAAAACTGTCCCTCTCCGTTCGTCCTGGACAATTTTATTTTGCTGCATCTTGAAATTGCTTTATTCAATACAATTTCATATCCTTGCCGCAGTTTTTTACTTGCTCTTACATTTTACTCGCTCCCTCCTTGCCGCAGTTTTTTACTTGCTCTTACATTTTACTCGCTCCCTCCTTGCCTACTTTGAAAGAAAGTGAGGATCAAGCTATAGTTGCCGGCGCTCCCCACCCGCATCGGTAATCCAATGGCGTCCGAAGGGCATTCCCCATGCGAAGAATATTCTACTGGTGAAGAGCATCCTACTGGAATTGCTCCCGCTTGGAGCGAGCTATCCTACCAGAACCGAGTCCAAGATATCAACGGGTATATGGAATCAGAATGGGTTTCTCCTCACTCGGTACATCCACGATTATACACTGTATGGTTGCGCCTATTCGCTAATAATAAAGCTCTATAGAACTTTCAAGCCTCTGCGAATCCATTTGCCACTACAGCGCATACAAATGGGTCCATGCCGACGCCAATTAGTCTTTGCGGTACACCTTTTCTTGAGCCAAGAGAGAGCCCGTCACAAAGCCATCAAGATCTCCAATATCGTGATATTGTGGATTCCCCAACACATGGACTCGGAATCAGTGGACCGACTACCTCAAACTATGTGCAACCTGGTATCTTCACATATGACCATCCACATCGCGACACACTGGATAGTCATTTTTCACCGGAATCACAGGGGGGAGGCTTCGGATTAAGACCCCTCAACGGCACCACGCAACCTAGCACTCTTGTTACGCAACCCAATTCTGCAAAATGCCATGTGAACATTGCTCCGAACCCTGCTGGACTTCTTAAAATCCAGCGCGACAGAAAAAGAAGCCAAGGTGTGGAAGTCTCACAGCGCCGCCGATCCCGGTCGGCACGAAGAAATTCGGGGCAAAGGTCGAGGCCATCACAAATGGATCGCGAAAACGAACTTGTTCGATTATTAAGAACAGAGCGGAATTTATCTTGGAGAGAAATAGTGAAGATAGTAAACGCTCAATTTGGAACAAACTATTCAGCGTCTTGTCTTCAGATGCGAATGACGCGTATGAAGCATCGAGCCATGCAATGGCCCGAGGAAGATGTGAGTATGTGTCCCTTATCCACTTCGTTGCCCCCGTACGCTAGTCTTATAATCTTTGATAGGTCCTAGCACTTCAACGAGCATATGAATTCTGGGAAATGGAAAAGTTTGAGATCATATCACAGAAGGTTCGTTGCTCACTATGAAAATAGTTATTCCTTATTTTATGTTCCATTCCCCCAGTCTTTTCATGTTTCCTCTCTCCCTTTCTTTTCCCTTACTTATTTTTCTTTTTCATTTCATTTATTGCAGATGCAAGAATTCGGAGCAGGAGTTTTCTCAGCGTCTCAATGCGAATTGAAGTGGCACCAGCTTAAAGGAGGTACTCATCCCATAGAAGAAAATCCAGAGGCTTCCGAAAGCCCACCTCGACGCCGTCAAAGTAGATCACGATGATATTTTTCAGCGAGACAATGCTGTATATTAATCCTTCGCTGTCCAATTTCCGATTTACGCGCCTCAAGATACCCCTAAGATATGTAACTTTACTTTCCTTAACAAACGAATTTGGCTGTGGTGATTTTTCTTTTTCTTTTCTTTTTTTTACCCCCCAGCTTCCTCGTTCACTGGTTTTACTTCCAACCATTATTGTTATCATATTTATCTTCTCAAGCATCGGACTTGACAAAGGTAGCGGGCCCAACCACCCGCCCAGAACAACTGTTACTCATCTATGTTAGAGTTTAATCCCTGTAGTGTGGCATTCTGATTATTTTCCTCATTTTCATTTCGGCTTCTTTTGCATTTTTGACTAAACTATGGGGGTGTGTATAAATCCCCAACCTTTGGCCCAAATTTTCGCTGGTCGCAATTTTATTCTTTGAATTATTTTTCTTTCTGTTTATTTTATTTTATTTTATTTTATTTTATTTTAGTTCTATCCCCCTTTATTTATTTTCTGCGAATATTTCACTCCAGCATATCTTCGCGAACAATTCTGCCGGTAGACAGCTTGTTATTCTTCTTAATATTCATCTTTGGCCTAACGCTAGCGAACAAGGAGTTGTGGTACCCCTACCCGTCTATCGCTAGAAGAAACAAATGCATTTCTTTGTCTCTCCTTTTTGTTCCATCTTAGTTGCAGCCTTATTGTTGCCTCGATGATTCGCATGTTGTAAATTTTTAATTTCTAATCACTTGTCTTATTTTTTTTCTCCTACTTTGCAAACCTCCCCTTTTATAGATCCTGCATTCGAGCGAAGTATTAGAAACAGAAAAGCAATAAACAACTAATATAAAAATTTCCCCTTTGTTTCGAGTTGGGTTGCATGTTAAGCAATATGACAGGCACCCATCTACCGCCGTAGGTACTATTGCGCTCGCGTTTGCGCAAAAATAGGCAGAGAGAAAGCAGGGTTATCTGTCTTGGATAAGCCTTGTCTCTGGGGCAGGACACAATGCCGGCTCGAAGGGGTGATAAATGGACCCATGCTACCGCTGCGTGAATTCGTCTTTGATATCACGCATGAGCCTTGCTGGGCCTACTGAGTCTTATCGCAGTCTAAGCAGGCCGAGGACACCCGTAGAAAACCCTCCAAGCATGTAAACCAGGTATCCAGGTAGAAGCTGCAACGGTGTTTAGACGACAAGCGCGCCACATCCCACCCAGCCATCGTGCCGAGGGCACGCGAGCAGGAGGAAAATAAGGATAGGTTGTATAACTAGAACCCAATGCCGGGCGAGCATGTCTCTCTAACTAGTCCTGAAACAACCTCCATTCCCGCAGCTAAGGCAGGGCTAAAAATGGATTGCACGTCGTTCACCCTCAAAATTCGCGGTGCTAATCATCCATGTCAGGCCCAGTCGCCTAGAAGGCTACTGCAGGCGGATGCACGGACAGCCCACTTAGCTAGCGGACGGGAATCTCCACTAGTTTGTGATAGGGATAACGCTTGTTCTCTCGGCGCTTAATCCGACATGTGTGGCTGGGCTATTGGCGGCCTCGCTCCCGGATCCCCCTGTCGCAAGTTGATTTGTTCAAGATGTCAAGTGTACTCGAATAAGAGTGTTAAGGCGTGATGTTATTTTCATAGTCTTGAAGGCGAAGCTATAAGGGAAGGCCAGTCCTACATGTTGCACCTTGCTTACTTTATCATCGAGCCCAACCCCCCCGGGGGGGGAAGAAATAGGCTGTTCAATCCCGTTCGCCAGGCACTGGCTGTCACGAACTGAACTCCGGGGCATATCAAACCTAGTTAGGCGAGCCGCTCGTCTGTGGAGAAATTCCCACCTCAAGAAAATAATCGAGTGAAAAAGAGTAAGTGGAGGAGAATGAAAGTAACCCTGCCCGCCTGCTACCAATCATTTTATTTACCGACTCGTATCAGGCGGCGCGCCAATTGTGATGAAAAGGTTAACCCGGCGCTGGGGCCAGGTTAGGGGCCGCCGGCATGTCCCATCTCCATGCTCTGATTGTTAAATCTGGGCTTCTTGTTTCGCGGGGGCGCCGTTAGGTTAATTTGAACAAAGAGGCCCGCTTTCATGGATACTAGGTCCCCTAATGCGAACGGGAAGAAGACGGAGTGATTAAGGATGCTGCATGCTGGGTTTAAAAGACATTGAGAAACTCTGGAGGTCTTAAGACATACTTACAAGGGTAACTTAAAATGGCAGCATTATTCAAACCCCGAAGATTGAATCAAGGGTTACACATCCCATGGTAGAAAAGCATAGGATATCATGCGAACGAATGCAGGGCAATAATAGATACATATAAATAATAACAAGAGTATTAAGGTTTAGGATCTGTTGAAGATAGTCAAGATAGTAGTAGTTACCCAACCTACTAAGCGCGAGTAAAGTAGTCAGACAAGGGGCGTCCAAAAAGTGTTTGTCTCAAATGAGGCTTGAATATTTAGACCTAGAGAACTTCTAGAGCCCTGGCTATCTCATTATTCTCATCATGAACTAAGGCTTTAGATGAAAGGAAATCCCAAACGCCTTATTCAACGATTTAAAGTAAAATATAAATATAAAATACGGAGTGTAATAGCCCCCATTCGGGCTAAAAATGGAAAATTCGCCGTCATTTGCCATTAGGCCCCCTCAACCGGCACCCCTCCACCCACTTCGCCGCCCTCCTCTTCGTCCTCATCCTCTTCAACAATCGGAAACGTCAATAGAGCTGCTATGCCACCCAGGCCATCCAACCTTCGCCCGCTTTCATGGTCAGAGCTCAGAACCCGGACTTCACCTCCTTCAATATCTCTCACTTTATCTACCAGCGAGACCCATCTATGCCTCTCGGCAACATTTTGAGCGCGAAATAATCTGTTGGATATTATAAGAACTCCGCCGCCTCGACCTACCGCGCCTTGCTCCACTGCTGATTCCACCTCTCGCGGACCATAGGTGGCTTTGTTGGTTTCCTTGCGTAGTTCGGAGAAGAATCTGTCCATGAGCGACGTTTCCTTTGCGTATTTGGTGTTCGAGAGGAGCGTTTGGACGGATGGGGATTGAAGCACCTCAGCAAGGGAGTGCATGTGGCCCGATGAGGAGTGGACAACGACAATGTTTTGTAGCAGGCCCTTCAAGCCCGGGGCGGATGTATTCGCTGCAGACTGGATATGTTTTTGGAATCCCGCCGCTGTGAAGCCAGGAGATGCCAGGAGGATTGGCTTTGTAGATACGCCGCTGGACGAAGGTTGACGGGATGTCACATTAATTTCGAGCAAGCGGATGAGCGTATCGAGGGTGGTTTGGAAAAACTTTGTTAAGGCCTTTATGATAGCGTGTCAGTATGCACTTCACGGGAGAGATTCCTTTTACGAGTATGTCTATTGTTGTTTACCTTGTCATGATCGGCTCCGCCTTGTCTCTTCCGCGGAATGGATAATTCTATTTTCTGCTTCAAGACCGTCTGGAATTGACCGATAAAGCAGATATGCGCCAGTCCTTCCTGCATTACAACCGCCACGGCTTCTGCCCTTCTATTCCCTCCTTCATCCACCGCTTCCTTCAACATTTCGACAGCAACACTATCCCATCCTCCAGCTTCACTTGAAGATTCCACCTGCTTCTCCAGTGTGAAATTTCTTTGCAGTTCCAGATCAAGCGTATGATGCTGCCCAATCTTGGTGTATGGGTTTTCCGCAACGACTCGGCCGGAGACATGGAGCTGGGAGTTTTGGGGGTCAAAATCCAAGCTCTTAACACGGATTTGTAGCGTCATATGTACTCGAGAGGAGCTTGTAGTTCCCGTTGCAGCTGTAGTAGTAACGCGACGGATCGCACTCGCTTTGAGAAGGTCATCAGGTCGGATGAGGTTATAGCAATGCCACTGGACGAAAGGTCACGGTTAGCTTTGCACTGGTACAAATACGTCGGACCAAGGATAGCGTTTGGTAGATCTTTGTGTGTTCTTTTCGGAAGACTAGCTGGAATTGATTAACATACCATATCCTCTGGCTCTTCGGGGTAGAGTGTGACAGAACCCGAGCCATCTCGCTCGATATTATTTTTGATTAGCCGCATCTCAGACCGCAAATATTTGGCCAGACAATTATCCGCGCAGATTCAAAAGACAAGCCTACACAGGAGTTCTGCATTAGCTCTGTGTATTCCTAAGAAGTCTAGGCCTTTGTATATTAGTCGTTATCGTGGTTTAGCCTTTGGAGTTGAAATTTTGTCGCGGCTGCGTAGGATGATGGTGGGGTTGTGTGGTCGTCATAATAGCTCGAGGCAATTGAATGTCAACCCCGCCATTACTGTAAAGACACCAACTGCACCCTCAGAGAGTTGAAAGGACTTCACTTCTCAATAACGATTGAGGTCGTCAATGAGTCAGAATTCGCGAATACGGGCAATTATTTATCCTAAGCGAGGGAGCTAGAATGATTCTGCAGCGCAAGTTTACACTTAGGTTACATAGCCAGAAGAGAGGGAAGTGGATGATATAATGACAGCATTTCTTGACCATTGTTCTCCACCTTACTTTATTTTCGAGTCTATAATCCTTATGGACATCCTTCGACGTCTCAAAACCGTAGTGTTGAATCCAGTTGCGAAATTCGCTCCCTCTTCTTGTGCATATAGACTAGTACCCATCAATATGGCCCCGTTGAAGCTTCAATCGACTCATAAAATGAACTCGGGGTATGAGATCCCGGTTCTGGGATTTGGTGTAAGTATCTATCATTTACTACCATTACTTATAGCAGTTAGGAAGAGACACCTGCAACGTTAAGCAAGTGCTTCCACATTTTAAGAACTATTTCAATCAATCCAGCGTTTCTTTCGTTGGTGCTTGACTGACGAGCTGCTGTGCTCTAATAGGTCTATCAAACGTTTGTTCCTGAACCCTTTTACAGATCAATGCCATAAGCTTAAAGGAAGCCTACTTAAATATACATATCTGACAGACCTCCGGAACAAACTAAGAATGCCGTGTTGAAGGCTCTCCAAGTCGGATATAGACATGTACGTCTAGTGACTCCTTCTCCAACTCTTCGTCCAGGCCGTCATATATCTGGAACCAGGCACAATACGACGTGTACAGCAGCAACGGAGGTCTTTCCTACGTGTCAGTTTTCTAAATATTTTTTAGATCGATTCTGCGAGGGCATACCACAATGAGGCCGAGTGCGGAGCGGCCGTCCGTGCATCTGGCCTCAAGCGCTCAGACGTTTTCTTCACCACAAAGGTGCCAAGGAAGGCCATGGGCTACGAGCAAACCAAGGACTCTATCGAGTCTAGTCTCAAAGCAGCCAATCTTGATTATATTGACCTGTGAGTGCAATGAGTCCGTATGGAAATGGAAACATCATGTGTAGCAAATGGCAGCTAATTTTTATTTTTGCAGTATGCTCCTTCATGCTCCATATGGTGGAAGGGAAGCCCGCGAAGGATCATGGCGTGCTCTCGTAGAAGCCCAAAAGGAGGGCAAGGTACGCTCCATTGGGGTTTCTAACTACGGCGTACACCATCTCGACGAACTGGAAGAATATAACAAAGGTATTGGCGGAAAAATCGACGTTGGTCAATATGAGCTGCACCCCTGGTTAGCTCGCCCGGATATCGTTGAGTGGCTAAAAAAGCGCAATGTCGTTATCGAAGCCTATAGCCCCCTCGTTCAAGCAACTAGGATGGACGACCCCCTTATCAAGAACTTGGCCCAGAAACATAACAAGTCGCCTGGGCAAATCCTCCTTCGATGGAGCTTGCAGAAGGTACGAATCCCCAGAAGCTTTTGTCAGCCTGTTATTGATTTTTCGATTTTGGGGATTGTTGGCGTGTATTAACTTTTGACAAGGGCTTTGTTCCTCTTCCCAAATCTGTACACGACAATCGCATTGAGGAGAATTCTGAGATTTTTGACTTCGAACTCTCCGCTGAGGACATGGAGACATTGAACACAGGCGAATATCACCATGTTTGCTGGGATCCTACCGTGAGCAGGGACTAAATGCAAAACTCATGGGAACAATGGACAATGTGTGATATGGCTATGACTGTTGGATAATACCTGTTTCTATCGCAGCTCTATAGCCAAAATAGAACGCCTTTCGTGCTGCAGATTGTGTTTTTGATGCATCCATGCTATCCCCTGGTTCCTGAAATACTGGTAGCCATTTGAATCCAGGAACTGGAAGATATAGAGGAGCATTGTGATAGAAGAGAAATACTAGATAGATGCCAGGGCAACTATTGTGGAGTTGTACTGCTTCACTTCTTTGTACTGTACCTCTTGTGGTTTTTTGTCTGCTCCCAGATCACCATTCACTACAAACATGCAAAGAAGATTTCTCTCTTTAAATAGTATCAATACCAAAAATCCTTTTTCATACTTCAGAATCTTCTTCGCTTCCTATTACTCCCCGCTTCTCTTTGAAAATTGGCAATACCCCGCGTACTCGCGGCTGATATTTGGATTCCTCTCGTTCAACTTGCTTTTCAACCCCTCTTCCTCTTTCTCTGAAGGCTTCAACTTTCCCTATTATTTCTGCCGTTGCCAGTCGTATTTTTTTTCATTTGTTTTTTATTTTTCTTTTGAAAGATACCTCCCTGTAAGGGACGCCCAGCCAAATCGCCCCCCCCCCCTAAAAAAAAGGCACAACACAACACAACACAATACGAATGTGCTGAATATATCTGGAATATCCACTTGGAGAACAAGCCCGCTTTAGCTTTTGGAGAGTACAGCTTTTCTACATACCTTACGAAGACATAGGATCCATTTGAATATCCTCAAGATGGGCAGAAAACGACGCCTCAGTGAATCGCCCCCATTACCACCTTTCGAGTACATGTCACGCAACCGTCGGGCAGTATTTGGTGATCCGCCATCCGCATATTTGGCTGCGGTGATAGAGAGAAATGAGAGAGCAAGCAGGAAACGAGAGCAAACCAGACTGGAGAATGAACAGAACCAAGATGAAGAGGAGTTGCCTAGGAAAAGGCCTGCCCCTGACAGCAGTCAAGTCCATCCCTACCACACTCCAGCAGCAGACAATGACTATCTCGTATGGTCGGGCAGTGGGACACCAGCCTCGAATACGTACCCTGTCTCTCGGACTAGTCATTCGCAATTTGCCGATTCAGAATCTAACGGAGAGTCCCCCGATCGAAGCGATAGTACTAGCACAGACCAGACCAACCATGATGGAGAGACTGAACTGAGCCAAGAGGAGCAAGAAGACGACAATTCTGAAGGATCTGAAGAAGATTATGGAAATGGAGATGAAGAATATCAAGATTCAGGGAGCAGTGATAATAACGCTGATATGGGTGACGACGATAATATCATCACCTGTGGACGCGATCCGCGGTCACTTGGCGCAACCATGCAGGAAAAAGATGAAGAAGACCTTGGCAACCGGCAAGACTGTAAGTATGATCTTTGAGGTCTAACACTTCTCTAATATTAAAAATGAAAGAATAGGGAAACCGGGCGATGGAACCGATATACTTCTGAGCAGAGAGATTTATGCTCCCCATCCTATTGAGATCGACGGTGCCTCCACCACCACCACCAGCTTGTTATCGGCCGCTTCTAGCGACGCCCTCTCCGCTTGCAATAAAGATATCCGGTGGCATTCTGCAGACCAGCCCAGTTTTGCTCTTCCAAGCCGTTCTTCTTCTCATATGTTTTCTGTTCCTGGCACGATATTTGTTGATCCTATTGATTTCGAGGATGATGACATCCGATCCTTGGCGCACAACTTGGCTGCTAACTGCGCAAGCTGGGGTGTGGAAGGTAATGACGTTTTGGCAAACGAGAATATACCACCAGCTGAAGTAATTCCCCAGGATTCAGGCCATCGACAGATAGGCCATCGTTACAGCCCTGTTTCGCAAGGTCAAGGTGTATTTCATGCTGGTAGCTCTCAAGCTGTCCAGTTTGCCACTGGTTCTGTGCCCATATTATCCGAGTCACTCTCTGCCGTCGATCCGAATTCCCCAAGCCAGGATGACCTTTTCCGTGAAGAAAATGATAATGGTACCGTGCACTACCCCGACGAGTTCTCCTCCGAGCTTGGCTATCAGAATCTGGATTGGTAGCTCTTTCTTTTATTGTTTCCCCACTTCGTGGTTAGTTAAAACTTATCAAAATTCGTACCTTTTGGGCAAGCATGCCATAGGTTTCGATACTTCCTTATACCTCTTTCTGGCCGAATACGTAATCCTTTGTTTGGTTGTTATGGGTGGATATTTTGCAAGAAACGTTTGTTTGCTCATACTTTGTCATAGTTGCACAGGGTTTATGCTTTTTGCTGCCTCGGAAATGTCCACAGCAATATGTGTACGTTCACTCCAGAGAGCAAACAAAAGTTTTGAAAAAGTTTTCAGTCAACAGAAAAGAAGAAGGAGCAGCATCTCTGGCCAAACCAACATTTGATTATGCTATGTCCTGGGGGTCGATGGAATAAGCATTCGAAAGTAGGTGGAGGCGGTCTCGCTTTGATAAAGGAACTTACTATTGTTTTTTCACTATAATTTAGTTAGCCTCTTAGTTCCACAATTGAACAAAGGAATCTGCCCATATATTGCTGGTTCCTCCGGTTTTTTTTTTTTTATTTTTTATTTTTTTATTTTTTATTTTTTTTATTTTTATTTTTATTTTTTTTTTTCCCGAGCAATGCTTCTTTTTAGTAGCAAGCAATGGCAGGCAGGATGTACACGTTTACACACCGTTCTCATATGTATGCGACGCGAAGCTGGGTAAACTGGGCCATACAGCCTTGCTAAGCAAAGAGCTGCTAGTTGCTCTCTTTCCCCTGATTGAGCCCCGTCCAGGCTCTTGCTTTAATTTTTCCCACTTCCTGTTTCTCGATCACACAAGTAACCGCCCAAAACTTCGTGTACCTGCAAACCTGCAAACCTTCTCCTTGTGTGCAAATGGTTCGAATTATATCTATGAAGAAAGGGGTAAGCCACGCGCCTCAGAGAGAATATTATTTTTGAACAATTTTAAGAAATGTGTTTCATTTTGATATCCGACGAGCTCCGACAAGGGGGGAAAGAAAAGGACAAGGAAAAGCAAGAAGGCTAAAGGACATAGTGAGAAGTAATGTAATGCTTTCAAGTAAAAGGAGGTTAGGTAGGAAAGCTGTGTTTGCTGGCATGGTCGAGTAAGGAGAGGAGAGGGACAGGCGTAAAAAGGAGGAAAGAGAAGGTAACTAGAAATAAAAGAAAGCAGAAGGACTTATCAGGCATGTGCGTAGTTTCGATTCAAAAGAAAAAGGAGAAAAATTAAAACAAAACTGGAAAAGAAACCACTATGCCCTCTCCTTCTACCTGCTCATTGTTTTTCCCTTTTATATTGCCATGCATGTCACGTCAACATAAGTCCCCACACGCCCCAATTCATTATGAACGCCTGAAGAAAAATCGCTGAATTCATGCGGGTGGTCCAGAATTTCGTCACTGTCTTTCCTTCCTTTTACCGTTCTCTTGCCTTATTCTCACGCTTCCCTCGTTCTCCCAAAACACAGCGCCCCTATAAAATCCGGGGAAGGCATGACGGAAACCAAATCTAAGAATCCCCGTCGGCCCTCGCAGGATATCTCTGCCGCCCCTCCCCCTCGCTCGCCACACACACATACATAACACCCATCAAAAGGTTATCTACTCTTCATCCTCCTCCTCATCGACAGTCGTCTTGGCGATACGGTCCAAATCCCGCTGGCCGCTCTGGGTAATTCTCCGTCCGCCCTTCTCCTCATCGAGTTCGAGCACGCCAATCTTCTCCAAGGATTGGATGACTTTCCGGTCAACGGCGCCGCTGGCATCGACATGATGGGATGGGCGGGAGCCGCGGTTCTTCGAACCTCCGTGGACTTTCCGTAGACGGCCAACACCGACGGTCTTGCGGAGGTAAATGTGTCGGGCAATGGAGGCGGCGCGGATGTAGTACCTATTTTTCGGGGTTGGATCATTAGGCCATACTGAATACTATATTTGCCAAGCGTCCTTGGCTGGAACCAAAAAGTAAAACGAGAATTTTGCATACCAGTCGATGGATTGAGGAGGGAGCTCATTGCCTCTTGATGTCTTAACGGTGTCGACCCAACCTGTGTCGCAAATCAGTCAGAGGGAACCACTTTCCACAAAGCAAACCGCGACCAATACGCCCCGCTTTCTGTAGAGAAAGAAAGAAGGGGGCGATGCGGAAACTGGGGATAAACGAAATAGGGACGGACCTGGAATTGGCAATTTGCCTTGTCTCTTCAGGAAGGCGGAGTATGCCTCGATGAACTTTTGCGCCTATAGATAAAAGGAAAAATCACATATCAGTAATCCGAACCTATCAGGGCTGCATGAAAGATCCCGGAAACTCCAAGGATGAAAATGGTGCGCTTCTTTTCATTTTCCGCCCATCCACTGCATAACCGCCATCCCAATCCATTTTTTTTTATCCTTTTTCAATCGTCCCTTTAAGCGATATATCCAGCATCTCATCGACCCCCCCCAAATCCTTCCCCCACCCCCAAAATCCCATCTCTCGTTCCGAAACATTCGTTTTCCTCATTGTCATCCATCCATTCCCCTCCCCCAATGATTTCCCGATATAGGCACCCATCTTTCATCCCACCCCACAAAAGCAAGAAGGGCGAGGGACGAATAACGCATTAAAAAAGACTTACATCCACATCACGAACGGTAACACCTCCCATGATTGCGATTGTCCTTTGAATGCCTTTGGAGGGCAAATGTGATTAAACAAGCGGCGGGAGGGAGGAAAACGCGAGAGGTGTTGTGAGAGTTGAAAAGTCCGTTGGTCGATTTGTCGATTGTCGTCTCGGGCGGAGTTCTTCTAAGGTCGTGGTCGCCTCGCTTCGGAAATTTCGCTTGTTGTATCTTCAACTGTGTGGTTGTGGAGGCTCAAGGTCATTTAACCTATTTCGGACTAGTTGTACCCTAACACCTTCCATCCAACCATCTTAGTCATGCACTAAACTTAATTAGGATCACTCTTAGTAGTCCCGCTCAACCTCGAATAGATTAATGTATGTCAAGAACTTTAATAAAGGTCATTCTTCGTTAGATCTAAAACATATCTAATAAAAGGAATATTCATGACCTGTCCTAACATCCACCCAGAATTATCCTGCAGTAGCCGTTAAGCATCAAAGCTTTCCATATTAAGTTCAAGGAATGTCCATTGTCAAGCCGCCTAATCGTATTGCATATTAAAACAGAAAAAGAATAGAAATAGATGGAGATGTGTAGAAGCAATCCCCATACCGGTCTTATCGTCGGTTCCTGAACGCCAATAGTGATAGTACAAAAAGTTAATCTAGCAGGAACGCTGGCTGGTCGTGATGATCCTATTATAAGGTCGAAGCTCTCTGAAGACCAACGCAGTATCGTACAAACAAGGTATCGATAAAATGTTCGTGTTTGATTCCTGGAGATCGGCATTTTTCGAATTCGTCGATTGCCTCTTGAACAGAAAACCCCTTTTCCTCGATGAGATATGAAGTGACAAAAAAGCCGGTCCGGTTAAATCCGTAGTGACAATGTACTCCAAGTACCGGCCGCGGAGCCCCATCTGGAGAGGACTTAGATACAGCTGATATTTCTTCCTCTAAACGACTGACAAGAGAGACAAAGTCTCGAACCTCTTCAACAGTCGGGGGGATTTTGGACACTGTTGGAAGTTTGTGATACTGTATCCCACCCTTCTCAAGCTGGGCGGGGTCATAAACCGGACTTTCGTGACTGATATCAATGACTGCATAAATCTTGCCTTTCCACTTCTGCGCGAATGGTATGGGCGTGTGTATCTCATCAACCTCACGCAGGGTCTTCATTGCGACAAAAGTGTCACCCATGACAGCTGAAACAGGATCTATGGCTTTCCATTTCTCGAGGTTCTTGACGTCCCATTTCCCTGAGGTTGTTAAATGTTGAAGCTGCCACCCCAAACTCAGACGAGAGTCAATATGCCTAGGGAAGAAGTCTTGGATCAACCCTGAGAGTGTTCGACATGTATGTCGGTCGTAGAGGAGGGCATGGGAGGCCGGTGCAGGAAATATATATGCTTTTATACCTCTTTTGCCGCCATTGGTGGCGTTGGCTGATTTCGATAAACCGGACGAGCTAGCAATATTGGCGAGATCTCCTCGTGCGCTTTCTCTTAGCGAATGTCGAACTTTAGGGTTGATATTTTCGTCCTCAAAATCCGCTCCTTCTAGCTGGCTTTCCGGGAAATCTGACGAGTCACGTTGGCCATGATCGGAATTAAAATACTCGACAATTTTCGTAACCTCTTCCGGCTTTGTAATATTATCGGATTCTCCCCCTATGAGCAAAACCGGGACATGCACTCCTGCCCATACTTTCTTGCCAGGTAGGCCACCTACAGCTTCCCCAGTGCTGCCATATGTCGGAAGGGTGCTCCATGCCATCCTCCTCCATACCGGAGTTTTACTCTGTTGGTTGAATCTAAGCTGGAGATTTTTGGTTTCCAGATCAGCATCTTCCCCAACAAACCTCGTAACGCTAGGGCTGTGGGGTCCGCCTCGTCTGTCCCATCGTCTAAAAAGGTTGAAGACTGGGTCTGGAGTATAGAGAAGTTTGCGCAAGCTTGCGGTTTTTGCTTCCGGGGGAGGACCAGCTGGTGGGCAGACGGCTACCATTCCGATGACATGCTCCCGCAGTGACAACATGAGAGGAGATTCTGAGGACGCAATCAACGCTGAGAGCGAACATCCCAAACTGTGCGCGATTAGTATAATTTTTTGGCCTCTTTTCTTGTCACGGTACTGGTCAATTGCAACAGCGAGCAAAGTAACAAGTGCCTCGATTGAGTATGCCGCCCAGGACTTGGGCGAAAACGAAGACAGGCCGCACCCTGGAAGATCGATACCAAAACAGGGAGCAATATTAACCAGACTGGTTAGAAGAGGGTGGAATTGGGTAAGGGAACCCCCAAGTCCGTGAATAAATACCAACAGAGGTAAGGGTGATGGTTCCGTGGGAAGCTTTTCGATATGAGGGTGAGGGTAAAGGAATGTCCTGATAGAAGGGTAGGTTGCAATCGGGGTGGTGTAGGATATATTCGCGGAGTGCTTTTTAAGCAGGCCGGGATCAGTGTCATCCACTCCTAATAAGGAAAGTGCAAGTCAGTGATATACCAAACCAGAGAACTTCCACCACTGATTCCTGACGCGGCATACCATTGCGTTTAAGGTGAGCGCTTCTAGAACTAATTGAGCGTCCATGCACATCGAGCGCCTTATCTTTTTTCTTCTCGGAAAGGTCCGTGTCGTCACTCGAGCTGCCGTCGGAATTGGTTGTTGTTGGCTGTTTGCCCAACAACACCTGAGTTCTTTTTCTCTCATGCCTAGGAGAACGTAGGGAGCGAAGCAAGAGGAGACAGCCAGCCATGGCCACGATAATAGGGATACCCACGGATTTGCAAAATACACTCGTCACTTCACTTGGCGCAATGTCACCACCAGAAGTCTCGATTGGCACAGCATTGATCGGGCTCAGAAGGTGCAGACGGGACAAGCAGCAGGCGATGTAATCCGAAGAGAACTGGATGAAAGCTGAAATGAATGAGAAGATATGAGTAAGAAGAGAAGTAAGTGGAGAGGAAGAAGGCAAAGGGGATGATGTGAGTGAAGCGAAAGTGTTCATCGACATCGTGCAGGTAAACGGGCTTTTCAGCTCTTTATATGAGAACTAAGGGAGCATTCAAAAAAGGCCCACGTTCCCCTAGGCCGAGATTCCCTAAAGACTCAGCCGATAAGGTTGCGGGATGGGAGCCGACTAGGGTCTAGTTCCCACTCCAGAACCATACAGCAAGAAACCTGACTGTTGGGCAGCTATAACTTTTTTGAATTGCAAAGCTCACTCCTGTTTCACCAACTCAACGGAGCGTGTAAGCTGCGAACCAATGGCAAGCCACGGAAGGCAGTGGTGCTTCAATGAATAGTTAACATGAGCTTGTTTGTTCTGCTTGGCTAGATTTATGGAGAGAACATATGCCTGACAACTGTCAAGTCATAAGGTCACCATGCGCGCAAAGTTGACGACGAGGAGATGTTGAGAGGTTATGTTTTGAACACTCGATCATCCAAACAGAAGGTGGTCAAATCTGTCACCTAGGTAAGGTAGGTGACACCCTGACTCTGAGCGCTCGCAGCCTGCACCATCGACAAACGATGGAAGCTGCAGCCCCCGTAAACCACCAAGTCTATCTAGGTCATAGCACAGTCCAGATGTCAGTAACCGCGTCTAAAAGAGAACCGGGGTCCTGGTAAACCAAGCGCGTGGGTGGAGATACGTGGAGGCAGCAGTCGAGCTCTTAGAGCTGCAAAGAGAATAACCTATTTCTTGAAATCGGTCTAGTCCCAGAGGTATTTTTAGCTATGTATCCAATCGTGAGAACTGGAGGCACTGCGTGGCTGACAGAGCGGGGAAAAGCTGAAAATGAATGATAGACACACTGGATGACTTGTTGGACGTGGAATAAATAATGCAGCGTCATCCAGCCCGGTACAAAATTATGGATGTTGGTCAGAACCCGTGGACCTTGGAGCAACCAGGCTTGTCACGTGGAAGTCGATTGGATAAAGGCCGAGGTAACTAGCTAACCCCGATTAGATTTAGCGCATTCCATCCCTCGTTCTTGTCTCTGATGAGTTCATTGGACTTGGAAAACATTTATGATGTCGACTACGGAGTACATCCGTACGAATTGGCAGAGACATATGTACAGATTCCGTATATTCCTTCAAATCCCACTGGATTCCACCGCCTGTTTATCTGCGTGAATATTTTATAGGCTGTCCCATCCCCAGAAGCCTTCCGAAGTGCCTCTACAACAGAACCGACCCCGACCAAAGTAACTCTTCATCAAAACATATCCGTCATTGCGCCATGCGAAGCGTCACCAACAAGCTTTGCGTACTTGGCCAACGTGCCACGTGTAACATGCGGCTTCGGTGATTTCCAGCTCTTCATCCTCGTAGCGATCTCCTCATCCGAAACTGCCATGCTGAGCTCATTCGTCTCTGCATCGATCGTAATCATGTCTCCATCTTGCACCACTGCGATGGGACCACCAACAGCAGCCTCGGGGACGATATGACCTACGATAAACCCATGGCTGGCGCCAGAGTACCTACCATCTGTTATTAGGGCGACATTTGTGAGCTTGGCTCCCATCAGCGCAGCACTGGCTTTGAGCTGCTCAGGCATACCGGGCCCTCCCTTAGGCCCCTCGTATCTAACGATCAAGACAAGGTTCTCTCCGCGTGGAATTAAGCCCTGGTTAAGTGCGGTATCGAGCTCGTGTTCCTTGTTAAAAACCCGGGCTTTCCCAGTGAACTTGGTGCCCTCTTTCCCAGTAATTTTAGCGACTGCACCACCAGGGGCGAGGTTCCCTCTGAGGATTTGAATATGACCCGTAGACTTGATAGGGTTAGCTAGTGGATGAATTATGGCCTGGTCTTGCGGCAGAGACGGGAATGATTGGATATTCTCGGCTAGCGTTTTCCCGGTTACCGTGGGAATATCGCCGTACATGAGGCCTGCTGCAACCAACAGCTTCTGCACTGATGGAATTCCACCAATTTCATATAGATCCGCCATATAGTACTTCCCACTGGGCGCCAAGTCGGCGATAAATGGGATTTTGTTGCTCACCCGCTGGAAGTCATCAAGTGTCAATTCAACCCCGGCAGTTCTGGCCATGGCTATCAGATGAACGACACCATTGGTGCTTCCACCCAGCGCCATAGTGATCACCAGAGCGTTCTCAAAAGAGCGTTTGGTGAGTAGATCTCGTGGTCTAATGTTCTTTTCCATGCATGTCCTGATCGCGTCCGCGGCTTTTGCACACTCGCGCATCTTCGATGGCACTGTGGCTGGGGTAGAGGAGGAGCCCGGTAGAGTCAGACCCATTGACTCAATCGCAGTTGCCAGGGTGTTTGCCGTATACATCCCAGCGCACGCTCCAGCGCTAGGACAGGCGTTACGCTCAATATCCTCCATGATCTCGTCTTTAGTTTTTGACCGATCTCCACCGTCATCGGGCTGGGTTAAGGTATTATAAGCATATGCACCTGCGGCTTCGTAGCAAGTCGAGACGTTGATTCGCTTTCGGAGTAACTTAGAGTATCCGACCTGGATAGTCCCACCGTATATCATCAAGGAGGGTCTATTATGTCTTGCCATCCCCATGATGCAGCCGGGCATGTTTTTGTCACAGCCAGGAATAGCAATGCAGGCATCGTGATATTGAGCGCTTGTAACAGTCTCTATACTGTCTGCGATGATCTCACGAGACTGAAGAGAGTACCGCATCCCTAAAAATTTTTGTCAGATTTAATTTCGCTTTACGAAAATAAACCGGGGTAGCCCGGGGGACATAATGTAGAATGCAACTAAAAAGAGCCGGAAGGGAACGAACACACCTTCGCTCCCCATAGAAATCGCGTCTGAAACACCAATCGTGTTATATTGCCAGCCCAACATCCCCTGATCCGTAATTGCCTTCTTGACAGTCTTTCCAAGATCTAATAGATGCATATTGCAAGCATTTCCTTCCCACCATACTGTCGCAATGCCAACCTGCGGGCTATTCTTCATACTGTCGCGATCTGGAACCCCGGCACCATATAACATCGCCTACCCAAGGGAGAAAAAATAAGAGCGGGGGCAAAACATCAGTAACGTTTTCTAGATGGAAAATGTAAGGGCCGCCCGAACATTAATCCCGCGGGAAACAAAAAGCATTAGGGAAAATTATAAAATACCTGGGCTCCCGGAAAATCATGATCCTTGGTGACAAACGTAGAATACTTATTCAACACCGGTTTACCGTCGCGGGTCGCATCATCCGGGAGGCAGGGGAATTGGATGTATCGCGGCTCTTCAAAGGCGTCATCTTGTTCTGAAGAGGACGTTGTGGTAGTCATTGTGGCAGCTCAAGCGTTGGACCGAAGTGCTTGTGCAGGTTTTGGAGAAAACAGATAGCTTAGCTACATGTGTTTGTAGAAGCCCGGGATGGAAACCAAATTTGCGACAGCAATTCGATTTGTAGCAAATATACATATATAATATATATATATATATATTAATTGTTATTGAGAGCCGGGGAGCAAATTTTCCTACAGCGGAGTTGGATAGGACTTGGCGGGGGATTGGAACGACATCAACCATGGAACAAACCAAAATAAAATCCAAACAAATAGAGCTATAACTATGGGTTTGATGTGAGGAGAAAAACCTCGAAAATAGTTACCCCTAACCATCCCTTTCAACAACAACTCCCTCTCCCGGTTGTGCCCCGCATCTCTTGGCCGGCATACCTCGCACTCAACGCACGTCGCGAAACTCGGCCTGCTCGTAGGGGCCCCTGTAGTGACCGGCAACATCGGCCATGACGGGGAGGAGTAACTGTAGGCTACTGGGGCAAAAGAGCTCGGTCACCACCAGCGCACTGCTGGTAGAAGGGCCGACCAACCGCGGGACCCCCAACAGTAACTTATACAGTTCTGGTAAGCATGAAAACCCACCTCGCCATTGGCCCATGCTTGTCTGTCCACAACCAACCACAGTTGGCGGTGCGGGGGGCTAGCATAACCGCAAATATGACCTCAAGGAATTATGCAAGTGGTAGACTTCTAATAAGCTATTTGACATGGACAATTAAGTTGATGTTGATTTGCTGAGATTGAGATCAATTGTGCACAAAAAACGGGCATTTGTGTAGGCCAGCTAAGCCTTGTCAGTGAAAAGAACCATCTCGAAATTTCGTCTGCACTTACGAAGTCTCATCTCTTTGGGCTACTTGGGCCCTTCCATGCTGTAATTTTTTGCAGAGCTTTTCCAACAGCTCTGCACAAATCGGGGACAATTCTCCAGGGACGGAGGAAGGCCGACTACAGCACGTCTTCTGGCGACGAGGCACAATTAGCGTGGTTTTTTAACGTGTACATTAGCGTATTAAATACACGAAATCTATTTGATTATATGACAGATCAGCTGTATTGGCATGTTTCAGTGTAATTTAGAAACTCCTGCCAACACCAGCTTTTCAGACAGAGAGGAAGATTATTACATACAGCACAATTTAGATCTTGAACTTGAAGCTCTATCTTATTCATCATTGCTGTCTTTCTTTCATACTGATATCAGACACAAGCTTGAGCAAATGACAGAAATTTGATCATGTGAAGGGTAGAGGATTTAAGAACTCAAAGAGTTGATAGAGTTTTTGATGAAACTGAACGTTGGATAGAGTAGAGTCAGTGTCAGTAGTTGTCAATTGATGAAGAATATAAGCATTGACAATAGCGTGATTGATAATCCAGTATAATTGCCAACCAGGTGCAAATTGATTATACGCAGTAGTATATGAGACTCATGGGAAACTCTACGCTGATTTGCTAGATTAATCTCATTCCCATGAAAGAATTGGAAATCATCTGCAGAAGCCATATTCCTCTCTCAAGAAACCAGAGTTAGGGCTAGAGAGAGGGGGGGAGGAGGGCATGTCCACAGTGGATATTGATACGAAGATGGATCAAAATACTCCGTAGAGCAGATTGCATAGAATTTAGTATGAGAAATTATTGATTGGTAACTACTTCTGAACTAGGCCACAATTAAATAGCGCAATACCATTACGCCGTAGTTCCCAGACAAGAGCTTCTTGTATACAATCCCCCAAGAAACGACGCTTTTCTTGCTCGCTTGCGACTCTCCCTCCGTAGCCTGTCTCTACCGAAACCCAGCCATCAAGACCGCCAGTGATCGCTATTGTCATGATACTTCCCTTCCCCCTGACTGGATGCAAAATCCAGGGGATTTCTCAGAACTGCCTTTTGGATGCTATACATTCCGCTCCAGTTGTCCATAAACAGGAAGGTGCAGTTTTAGTGCGAGTTCACGAATCTGCTGTGCTAAAGTACAGTAATGGGGTGTCCCTGGCTGAGGTGAGAAAAATGAAATTTGTTCATAAGAGAATGATGCATGGGAAGAGCGGTCTGAAATTTACGATGGGGAGGGACAGGTGATGGGACATCTTCTGATGGAGTTTATCAGTGGTAACCCCTTGTACGACATCTGGCCAACGCTCACCAACGAGGTCTGAACCTCTGAGCAAGCCCAAATTGTCGAGTGTCTTTGTGGTCGGTGGTGGGGTCTCGCTGGGTCCGGTCTTTATTGATTACAGCGCTGGACCATTCCTGACTGCTCAGCACATGGAAGCTTGGTTTAATGAGTATCTCTTCATATGCAAAGAATTCAATCGTGTTTCAGACAATCATCCTTGGTTCTCTGGCAAATTCCGCAAGCTTGTTATGTGCCACATGGGCATTACTACTCACAACATAATCCTTGATGAAAATGGGAAGATCTGGCTGATCGACTGGGCCCACTCAGGTGGATATCCTATGTTCTTTGAAACAACTGTGCTACAGAGAACTGGCAGTTCTGAATGTACACAAGGGTTATTGAAACATATTGATATTATCAAGAGGAAGCAAAGAATTTGCTGGTGATAGGTTTTGCTTTGACAACAGCAGCATGGACAAAATCATGTCCCAGGATAACAGGGTGTAGAGTATGGTTGTGGCAACAGAATTACTTGAATCCGCATTCATTAATATATCAAGTGCACATACATCAAGAGACGCTAATAGAAAGTGCCAGGAGTCATGCCAGTAAGCTGGGCAGCTGGTCTACCTAAAAGTAGCAGCCTTGTTCCCCTGGATGAACTTATATCGACTGGTGAGGTTCCGGGCCGTCCCGTTCGCTAGAAGTGGCCCAAGAACTTTCACCTTCCTATCATACCTATCATAACAGAGGAAAACTTGAAGTTAATTTCTGCAGCCAACACAAATGATTGGTTCGCCATCGCTGTAGACTGTCATGGTTTGAAAATGACATTTGGGTGAAATCGTACTCCGTACAGTCTATGGTAGTTAGCCAAATGCCTGCCAATTACCCCACAAAGCCTTTGATCAGGGTTCCTACAGAGCCGGTAGATAACTATAGGTTCACCTTGGCCCTTCTGGATCCTCTCCTACTTTCGGCTTCTGACGCCGGTGGCCCATTCACTACTACTACTACCCTACTAGACCCCATGATTCTGTCGTCTCTGGCACTGGTAGCAATCGATGCGTCGAGGGGAGATCGACCTTCCTCGTAAGTGCCGTCCCTGATCTGCGTCCCTCCCGATCAACGGCATCCATTAGATCTCTCTTTTCAACATCCATCTCCTGTTTGAATCCCTCCATCTCTTTTTTGGCTGCAATGCTTTTCTTGCGCAACTCTGTGTTGGTCCGACTGAGACGGCTCGCACGGTCTGCCAGCTGTTCCTTTTAATGTTCTTTCTCTCGCACTCTTTTCCTTGACTTCTCCTTTCCTTCTCAATCTTCCTCGTGTTTCGATCGAATAATCCTAAGCTCCTTGCTACGACTATCCAGCCTTCTCTGGAGTACTCCCACTTCGTTCTAGCGCAATCTTTCCAGGTGCTCGAGGATAGCGATATAATATTCGGTGGTCAAAGAATTGGTGTCATGGCTGAGGACTCCAGGATGAAGCGAAGGCACAGAAGCTGAATGTCGCAATGCTGGCCCTCTGTTCAGTGGATGGTCATGCTGGGGTGTTTGGGCCATTTTGATGTTGTGTAACTAATGCCGGCGTCAGATAGATCATGATGAGTCTCACTCATGAATATTTCTTTCTTGACTCTAAGTTCTGGGGAAGTGTTTCATATATACTACTCCATGAGAATTGGACCACTTGCAAGGGACTATAACCGTTATTAAGCTTGAACAAGATTTTGCGTAGGGACAAAAGGGTTGTTGAAGAGACCGTTGCCCCAGTCAAGACGCAAGTTAACGCTAACTTACTACGAGACTCAGAAAATGCGGATAATGGTGAGACCAATACATTGGATTGCTACTGTCACTTTCTGTGAGAAGCGTCGTCTTCCAGACTTCGCGGATCAGCGTGGCAATGGTCGGGTCTCAAATAAATAGTAATTTAGATATTTAGATGCAAACGTAACAGTAGATTCCTAATAATGTCCTAATGAACCCCAGTATGACGATCTAACTATCGCGTAGCGCCAACCTGCGCCGAGAACCAACAAATAAACGTGCAATCGACCATGCCCTTCTACAAAAAATACATGCTTCCGCGATCCTGTGGCCTTCAACGCTGGTTGTCAAGAATTCTTGGGGTATTTATGTCCGCCACAATAATTCTAGAAGAGCACTCGATATTTAATTGCTGTTAGGTTTTTTTATGAGGCCACTCCGCATTCTTTCCTTCCAGACCTCGATCAGGCCAGGCGCCCAGCGCCCTGTTCATGAGTTTCGCTAATATCTGTCTGGACTAGTGGATTCAAACCCTAGTCGAGTCCTCTTCTCCTACACGTCAGGGCGATTCCTCTACAACGAATAGAAGCGTCTCGAGGAAAGATATGTTGAATTCAATGTTGCAGCACTCAAGGAAGCAGTCTGTAAACATACAGGTCGTGGCAGGGTGACCAACCTCACGAAACTTGCAGAGGGCGGTTTCAATCGGGCTTTCCTTTCTTACTTTAGATGATTGTTTTCCATACCACATCTCAGTCCCCAAACAATATGCCACCGCCAGCGAGGTCGCAACCCTCACTTTTCTTCGATCAAAGGGCGTCCCCGTTCCTGAGGTTTATGGGTGGTCAGCGACGACCGATAACGCCATTGGGGCTGAATACATCATCATGGAGTTCGCTCCTGGCATTGGCCTAGACACCAAATGGTTCGACTTGACAAAGCGAGAGCAACGTACTGTGGCTATTGAAATAGTCGAAGTCGAGAGGAAACTCTTCGGCATTCCCTTTGGCTCATTCGGAAGCTTATATTTCAAGAAGGATATCCCTCCCGAACTGCAGGCTGACCTCTACGCCCCTGGGGTCGAAGATCCATCTGGAGATTCCGACACCTTCTGCATTGGGCCAATCGCAGATGACATGTTCTGACATGGCAAACGTGCTGAGATGCAAGTGGATCGTGGACCATGTAAGAAAATCATTCCGTCGAAACAATCGATGCTTCTGGGACGCAAGCTGACGATCGCTAGGGCGTAACCCACATAAATATCTTGCAGCTATTGGGAAACGAGAACTAGAATGGACCAAGAGGTTCGGAAAGCCGCTTGAGAAGGACTTTCCTTATAAACTCACTTCTACCGGGTGTGATTCCCCCCCAGCGCATATTCTACTTTGCTTGAAAAATATCTCGCAATCGCCCCTTTTCTCTTACCAAATGACGCAGAAAGCCATGGTAGTGCACCAACGCTGCGCCATCCAGGTATGTATACTGCGGACATCCAAAGCGCAAAGCTCGACGGAGGCTTACAATGACAAAGATCTTACCCCTAGCAACGTGTTTATATCACCGGAAACGTCTAAAAGCAGGAGGATCATTGACTGGCAACATACGGTGATTGTGCCTCGATTACTAGCTTCTGGACATCCTCGCCTATTCGAAAACCCCGACGTCGAACTGCCACCGACATTGGATGCCCCTCAGCCTCCAGATGGATATGAGTCACTGGATCCTGAAACGAAAGCCCAGGTTGATGAATTACTCCGACGTCGAAACCTGTACTATTTTTATCGCGTGTTCAATGGGGCGAAGAACCAGCTCCACCTGGCTGCTTGTGCTGATCCACTACTTGAGCCACGCAAACATCTTGTGGATTATGCCGGCCGTCAAGGGAATGGCAACCTGATGACCTTACGAGGCGCTCTTATCTAGATGCGCGAATACTAGCCTCTTCTTCAAGGTTAGACTGAGAAGTGCCCCATAGATTTTACGGAGGCCGAATTAAAACAGCATTATGAAAATGAACTCACATGGTTCGACTTTACCACTCTAGTCAACTACTGGCGGGAAGAGATCGGCGGAATGAGCGAGGAGGGGTGGGTGAAGGCGGAGGTTTATGATCACGCGGTGGAGAAGAACCGGGCGCTTAAAGAGAGATTTTTGAATGATGCTGATCTAGACGAGGTTGACAAGGTAGCTCAAGGTTGGCCATTTCAGGACAAGGAGGAGTTCTTTTGACCTTGACATATCCCAGTTGGTCAACCGTTGTATGGACTAGGGTCTCGTTGCGTTTTTCTTTATTATTTATTTCCTCCATTATCTCTCCTGCACTAGCTACGCTAGTTGCGCTCACCAATCCCATTGTATAATGTCAGGCTACCACTGGGCGCTTAGAGGGCCGCCTTCCCAACCCCTTTTCCCCGGGTTTTATTTGCAGGCGAGCTCCTTTTTTTACAACCTGTTGTCCCTCCCCCGCCGTGTCTTACTAGCCATCCCATTTGCTACACGAGTTAGCGGGCGTCTATCTTCAACGTAGAAGCGCGCCATGTCCTAGCTCTATTGTGGCATGCTTCAATCCCCTATCCAAGTCAATACGCCTCAGTCGAACAGATTCCTGACCCCATTTATTTCAAACCACTTTCCAATCCCTTCAATCGCCGTTGACCATCATGGGCGGGTCATGAAAAGCCTCCTCACCGCCGTTGACTTCGTCCATGGGCGCCCCGCAAATCTCACGAAATTCTTCGAGCCAACGGTTCGTCGCGGAGAGACCGTCTGGCCAAAGTCGCCCGTAGAGCAACTTCGCTACGGTATTCGTTGGGGTTATCACCAAGGATGATGGAAAGGAGTATCACAAATTCCCGCTTCAACTAAACACCGGCAAAATGCCTTCATTGATCAAGCAATGGCGCGACAACGACCGTGGCACCCACTCTGTGATGGCAATGATGTATTTCCCCAAGGGTGTTAAGCTGGATCCCCAGATCTTCCTGCAAGAGGCGGAAAAAGCCCTCGAAGTCTTTTAGTTACTGAGTCACTGTGATGTGTTCATTGACATAAAAGCAATTCTATCTTTATCCTGTTTACTCACTGATCCGTAGCAGAGGCTTGAGGCCCATGAGAGGTATATCTGCGGCACAAGTGGATATATGTACTGGTTGGGACATGACCGACACTTGGATTTGGATAATTCATTACACGTTGTGGGATGGATAATGGAATGCAGGCGGGGTTGTTTCTTTGTTATGCTTGGGCTTGGACTTGAATGGTTTATGTGGGCTGTTTTCAAAGTTGTTGTAGCATGCTTCTATATAACTGTCACATTTCCACTTTCTAGTGAAGCTTGAAAAAGGATCTTGTTACAAGCACACCCCTCAGAATGTTGTTAAGCCCGCTTTCCAGCAATGAAAGTAGTGAGTTCTCCAGGCGTGTTTTCAATGTATACAGTTTCCCTCTTTAACTCGGAAGGCTCTATCTGAAAGAGCTGGCTTGACATCAAAGCAGAAGTGGAGCTCCTTTCGCATACTCAACAGGCTGGGGTCGTTCGTGGATCTTTAAGAATTTGGTACATAGTTGCATTGTCAGCGGGAGATGTCATTCGAAGGCCGGGATGGCGAGTGGGGCTTGCATGGAACGGCAAAAAAGAAAAGAGAGAGATTCTCTGGTTTCGACTTGCTTTAAAAAACTGATCTATCTCGGTTTCTACCATGTGCCAACTTCCAACTTTTCCCCCATCAACCGGGGGAGGAATTGCATCATCCCCAGAATTTCTAAGCCAATCCTGACGTCCTGAGCCCGTCCATATTTTCGTAAGCTCGCTGATGGCCGTAACACACACAAAAAAGAACTCTTCGAGGCAGCTTTGGAGGGGTATATAACCTGATCGGTTTTCAACGACTGAATATATGCGTTTGATATAAACTATCTGTCTGTTGCTGTCTCGTTCCCCCTCCTCTCGTTTTATACGCCCCTGGTCGGTCGCTGATAATTGAGCCGTCAGCTTTTCCATTCGACTTTCCATCCCGATATATATATATTCGATTTGCCAACTGGCTCGGCGAACAGCGAGATGGGCTCCGCTCTTGATCAGAAAGATGGCGACCTACAACCTCCAGCATATACCGAAAATGCAATACCTAAAGACCCCGAAACCGCACGTATAGAAACAGCTCGAGATGTAGCAGAAAGAGGCCAAGCTGCTACGGACCAGTAAATATATCCATCCAATTTTCAAGAAAGGGTTGTTTTTGTCTTTTCTTTCTCACTTTACGCGGGTGACGTATATAGTTACGGGCGCTCGCTGGTACAATTTGACCGAGCTGCCGAAGCCAGACTTCTCTGGAAGATCGATTTGTTTATCGTCCCTACCGTCGCTCTTCTGTACCTTTTCTGCTTCATTGATCGCGCAAATATAGGTACGAGCTGCACTGCTCCTTTGTCAAGGCCTGGTTTATAGTCCCCTTTTCTCACAGACAAATGACTTGTAGGCAATGCGAAGCTCGCAGGCCTGGAGAGAGACCTTAACCTGAAAAACTATGACTATAATACGGTGCTCTCGATATTTTACGTCTCTTACATCGTTTTCGAAATCCCGTCCAACATGGCCTGCAAATGGATAGGTCCCGGATGGTACATACCAGCTATCTCGCTAGGTTTCGGAATCACTTCCGTAGCCACTGCTTTTGTGAATAACATCCATGAAATCTGTGGTGTTCGTTTTGTCCTTGGTATTTTTGAGGCCGGCATGCTACCGGGGATTGCCTACTACATGTCCAGGTGGTACCGGAGAAGCGAATTGACATTCCGCTTGTCTCTATACATCGTAATGGCTCCCCTTGCCGGCGCCTTTGGTGGACTTCTTGCCTCTGCGATTCTGAAATTATCCAACTTCGGTAGCCTTCATGAATGGAGGATGATATTTGCAATAGAGGGCATCATCACATGCGGAGTCTCTCTGATTAGCTTCGTTACTTTGACTGACCGCCCGGCGACTGCTTTTTGGCTTACCCAGGAGGAGAAAGATCTCGCCATCGCCCGTGTCAAATCAGAGCGTGTCGGAGCCACTGAGGTCTTGGACAAGTTGGACACCCGCAAAACCCTGCTTGGAATTTTCGGCCCTGTCACTATGGTCACCGCATTTATATTCCTTCTGAACAATATTACCGTTCAAGGCCTTGCATTCTTCGCCCCAACAATTGTCAAAACAATATATCCTGACGACAGCGTCGTATCCCAGCAACTCCATACCGTGCCTCCTTACGTCGTCGGGGGATTCTTTACTGTCCTTTTCCCTTTCCTCAGCTGGAAATTCAACCGCCGATTGATATTTTTCATCCTCAGTGCACCATTGGTGATGATTGGGTACATCATGTTCCTTGCCAGCGACAACTCCAAAGTTAGATATGGTGCGACTTTCGTCATCGCCAGTGGTGCATTTTCGCTCGGCGCTCTTTCCAACGCCAGTGTTTCTGCAAACGTCGTTTCAGACACGGCTAGGTCCTCTGCAATCGGCACAAACGTTATGTTTGGTAACATCGGTGGGTTGATATCAACGTGGTCGTTCCTGCCTTTCGATTCTCCGGACTATCATATCGGCAACGGCCTCAACTTAGCCACGTCGTCAACTATTCTTATTTGTTCTATCGCTTTGGTCTTTTGGATGCACTTGGATAATAAGAAAAGGGATAAGGAAAATGTGGAAGTAAAACTAGCAGGTCTCAGTCAAACGCAGATACAGAACCTTGACTGGCGCCATCCTGGTTTCCGATGGAAGACATAAGTTCGTTTCCTATGTGAACTATACCAGTGAGCAGCTAACTAGCCTTAGGGGCAGTGAGTTTTCTTCTTTTTCTCAACATTGGATACCCATGGTTCTATATTTTTGCTGCACATATCATGTTATTACTATTTAAAATTAACCTCTAAATCTCCTATTTTGTTGGAATTTCCTGGAAAGATTCGATCAAACCAAATATTTATTCATTACTCCGTACTCATATTCTAATTAAGTTGCCACGCTCTCTTCTCATTTTTCTCTGAAACACTGAAAATCTGCCTTTCATTCCTGCAACACTATCAAAATCCAAATAATAAACCCTTCCCTGACAGCTTGCATACACCTCAATTCATCCGCCGAAGTTCACCTCCTACGGGCATGGCTGCCCGTTTGTATTCCCGCAATAATTCGTATCCTCACATTTACTCCCACAACCATAATCGGTATAAGTTGTTGGAGTATTCTGTTCCCACGAGCGCATACACTCCGTCACGTCGCCATCACCCCAATTGCATCGCTTTCGCTCATACCCCATTGTGCGAACCATCTGCTGCTGGGTCCACACAGTATGACAACCCTTGTCATTCCAGGTACATGTCGTCGTCGAGGATGCAGTGTAGCATTCTGAGTCCTCGATGGATGAGGAAAACTCCACGGCAGAACTTAGCCCGGGCACGATACCCTTGGACACGGCAACGTCTATTTTCCACCCTATTGAGACGCTGACTGTTTCACTGCGTGATTGGCATACTTGGGTCCCGTTAAGGTGTGCGGTAGAGCACAACTGGGTGCCCGTGCAGTAAATGTTGCCGGAAGATTTGATCCAGGGTTTGTACCTAAAAATTTTGATATTTTTGTCAGCATTGCCCTGTCTATAATGGGTATCAGTGGATGGAGCGCATATTATTACCACACACTCGCTTCTACAGCGAAGTAGTCATGCCAGCATTTGCGCACTCTGGGGAACTTATATGGACGTGAAATCTTGTCGGATTCGATGTATACGCCTTGTCCGTCCTGGTAGGGTCCGTCGTAATCACGGTCGCTATCACATTCTTTCACGCCACGCTTTGCCAGCACCGAGCGAGTCGATGATGTCGGCATGGCAAGGCCATCCTGAACGAGGCCAAAAACTGCGAACGCGGCAGAAAGGATAAATGAGGTCCGCATGGCTGCTTGTTTCTCAGAGTGATAGAAGGTGGGTTGTCTTCGTGAGCTTGCGAACGAAGTAAATGGAGGATCGCTGTGATTGAACTAACTATCCTTGGTCGTTTCTTTCTTGCTTGTCTCGCCTGGATCATGAGAGTTCAACAAAAAAAAAATACTCTCCATTACCAAGGGGAGTGAGGACTTTTTATATTCCAATCGAACCATCTCCCTCCGCCTCCCATTTGCTATCAAAACTCGAGCTTCAGCCTTTCTCAACACTTCCTTCCTCTTCACCATTCTCTATACATCCCTTGAGGCTCCCAGCGAGTAATGTTCATCACGAAAATGGTAGGGGCAGTAAAATGTAAGCCCGGTGAAAGCCAATTCCAAAATTAGACCTATGTCCCGTTTGGTAAATAGCGTCTTCAGACTTCAACCCCCTAAATAAAACGTTCAGCCGGTCGATTGGCCGGGCTGCACGGTATTTAAAAATATAAACCTGCAGACTATAAGCAGTCAGGGTAGGGGGATCGTAGATCGGCAGTCCGAGAGGGCACGTGGAGGGTTCGGGGTGCATTTGAGTCCAGAATACTTCGTCTACTTCGCAAATGGTTCTCCAGCCTTTTAGCCCCCATGCAGAATAGGTTTTGTCGCAGTCAAGAGGATTTACTAGAAGCGGAATAGACCGTGGTTTGTTACGTTTCTCCTGCATAATTCTTCTGCCCTGTTTCACGGGTGCTGCGTACTAGTAGATTTTGTTTCTTTTTCTTTTTCTTTTCTTTTTCTTTTTCTTTTTTTTTTCCAGATAGCCTTGCATGAGCTTTCAGCTAATAATAGAAAATTTATCGACCGACCGTGCAGGAGCAGCCCTGTGGCGTTCGTATTTGGTTGATGCAATGCAGGATGGGAGCCTCGTGGTAGTTGGGGGGCCCATTTAATGCGCACACGTCGTGCATGCATATGTACGGAGTGGGGAGAAGATATGCCAATTTAATGTTGATAGACCATTCTTTAGGCCTTTACTAAATGGTGTGGCTTAAATATTCATCTGGCAATATTTCATTGCCAACAAACGCTATGTCGGGGGCGGCGGGCGAAGTGGTGCACTGGTGGTTTTGATGCAAGCCACCTTAGGAGACAAGGTTGTGACGGCTCGGCCCGTTTAGCCAAAAAAATCACAGCAACCTAGCCTCTGGGCATGCCCCTTGGGTTGGTTGGGGTGGGTCCTAATAAATTCCCCCAAAAGGCAACACAACCTCAATGCCAAACACAAACTGAACGAATTTTACTAAACTACACAGCGAAACAGACGGAAGAACATCTCATACCAAGATTACAAAGTGAAGATAAAATAGAGTTTCATACCTCCGCGGGATCCAACATAGCTTGGTGTACGAAGTAGAGACGGTTGTGGCGCGGGGAAACGGCCTTGGTCCGCAAGCGATTTTATTGGAAGCTCAGGTTTGCGTGCGGGCGCGGGTGGACGATGGGGCAGGACAATATGGGGAAGAAGGAATGACGGGTTGAACGGGAACCGGGAGCTCGGGGGCTCGGGGCCTCGGGGAAAGCGGCGGTAGAAGAACTTGAGCTGCCGGCCGAGGGCGGGATGTGCAAGGAACCTACGGACGCATAACGAGAACGAGTTGGTTGTCTCACGGATCCGCGGACAGTCATGGTATGCCGGAAAAGGAATTAAGAGCCGCACGCAAAAAGTATAAACCCCCCCCCAACTTTCCAATCTTCGTCTTTTTTCCCCTTCGACACAAACCTATATTGAGTGGGCGATCTCTCTAGAACCACTACAAATAATGGATAATGAACGCTCCATGTATGCTTGAGTCACTTGTCCAAAATGATACACAAAAATAAAAAGTGGATAGATATAGCACTTGCGGTCAGCCACGAAGGTGAAGGGGCTGGAAGACACATGTATTCTTGACAAGATGCAACGAAGCTATATTATGCCCTAGAGAAAAGATACCGGTACATGGAAATAGATCGATATTGTACTCTCATAGCTAGGGCCGCTAAACCTAGAATTGTCTTCGTAGAAGATATTGCGGGACATGGACGGCGGGGATTGATGGGAGACAGGGAAGAGAAAGAAAATGATAACAAGTTGCAGGCGTGTATGGAGGAAGGGCATCAACACTGTAATTATTTTGGAAACGCCAAGTATGGGGTAGGGATGGGTATAATGTCAAAACGAAGTATATACAAGTAGAAAGGGGGAGAGATATTCAACATTTGGCTGGTCCGGATAATTCGAAGGCCATGTTTTCCAAGCTGGTAGTTATTTATTTATTTACTTACGGGCCTTAGCCCTTAATTTCAGATCCAATGCTCGTGTCGTCGGTTAAATCCTTCTCGACCGCAGACCACTGATTTGATTCCTGCATGCTGTCGTCGTCGCCGTCAGGGAACATGGCAGGGATATTATCAGCATGAGCTGAAACCTCAGTTTCATCGTCTGGAAGAATGGCTGCAAATCCCACATTTTTCCTGCCTGTTGAATGCGACGGTATTACCTCCTCGAGAACATCACCATTCCAAGGCTTGCACTGCTTCACAATTTCTCCGCATCGAAGGCAAATCCAGCCTTCGCCTTCCTCTGCTTCAAGCTTCTCGGCAATGCAGACAAAGCAGTATATGCATCCGCATGGCATGGTCTCGTATGGATTTATAACATCAGTCTGTGCAGAGCCTATTATCCCTCCTGAGGCTCCAGATGCCCCCAGCACGTCACTTTCGGAGGTGGCTGTTGGATTATGTTCCTGGTAGCAAATCGGACATGTCCTTTCGGGCAAGAACGCCAACTCCCCTTGGCCCTTAGCCTGCTCGCCCCCCTCATCAGTTGCTCTCAGCGACGACTTAGTTTTCCTCCAAGCCCTTGAGATCCAACGCCGCCATCGCCCGATACCGACGAGAGGAAGCAAGAACAATAGAAACTCTGTAAACGCGTGCCACACGAGTTGCCTATTTAGATATTCAAAAGAGACTTCGCGGCTGACTTGGGTAGATGGAGGTGCGAGGCGCATACGTAGCACGCGATCGATTAGCGTCCTATATCGTCCGTTGGCGAGAAAGATGAGAAACGACACGAAGCCCGCAATTGAGTGCGTGGTTGAAATGGTATTTGTAATCCTAGACAAAAGTCGTACCCGGGGGGATGGCTATTTTTGCATATTAGCGTCGGAGTTCATCGAATGAACTAAAATCGCTCTTGAACGGACCTCATCATATCCGCCTTCCTGGTCAATCAACCAGGCCTCCCATTTATCCCAGGTATAGCGGCCCCCAACTGTGAAGAGGCCGTATAATGTTTTTTGCCATTTCGTGGGATCCGAGAGTGTGGGACCCTTTTTCCGGCTATCTGTATATTTGAGATTTTGTAGAGCCGCACCGTAGGATGCATTGTGATCCCATATGGAGAGCTTAAAGAGGATTGCCCTCAGTGCGAACTGGATCTCGTGCGTCCAATCTTCCTTTATGTGGTTCTACAGAAGAAGAATAACAGCGTCAGCCTCCTGAACACACACAAAAATATAAAACGGACATCTTATAAAAATAAGAGCAAAGGACTGTGAACCTTACCCCAAAGTATTTTAATCCTTCCCCAACCTGGGCTTTCAATAGTGCGAGGAGCTCTTCATCCAACAACTCCGCGTCTACCTGACCCACCCTAAACGCGGGCTTCGTGCCTTCCCTTCCTTTTATTGTATCCCATAACATAATCCCAGCATCGGAGGCTCTTGAGAGCGGATAAGGAAGTTTCCCAATAGCTGCGGGAAGACGAGTGCTTGGTTCCGGGATTCGACTTGGCGCTTCTGCTTCACGGAGACGCCGACGTTCCAAAATCCGCTCTTGCGCGGCAGCGAAATTTGTCGGAGTCATCGTGTCATCGTTCTTGATTGATTTGCCGGCTATCCCAAGCCCTTTAGCAAAGATAGGACTTGTTCAAGTGTTCTGAGGCCGTTGGAAAGGGAGAGTCGGTAGACTCAATGACATACCCGGAGCATGAGCAGCCGAGGTCGAGCGTCACATGACATTGGGGTTTGAGCTGTACCTAGTTACAAAGTTCTCGGAGAGGAAAGCTTGCAATTTTACTGAAGCAATTACCACTAGCTAGTAAAGCCTTTAGGCTCACAAACATGAAGTTGGTTAATAGCTAACAGAATTAAAACAACATAGGTTGAGCACTACATATACCCATTACGGGCGGCATTGGTTACAATGTTGTTGGAGGACAAAAGTATCGAGTTGGTCCGAGCTCCAACGCTAGTTTAACTGAACTGTAACGTGCCACTCATTTCTTTGGGGGTTTGTCATGGCTGGCAGGAAAATGGTGGGGTGCGTTTGATAGTTTTGATCAACAATGAAATTGTCAGGGCGTTTCTCCCCTCCAAGCTTCCTCAAGTTTATAACGACATATACCGGTTCCAGTCCTTTCACCTCCGCTGCCCATGGCTTCAATGGTAGAATTGCCCGGAGAGGCGAATCCCCTCACGCGTCAAAATATCTTCAACGCCTTGGTCTCCGCTGCAGGCTCAACGCAGCAGCAGGTCATCACGGGTGGGCAGCAGCTTCAGAACTGGGAGAAACAAGCAAATTACTTTTCGTTGCTACAGGTATGCATAATACGTCGTTGGAAACACTTATGGTTCTAGATGCATTAACATGTAATTGCAGGATATCTTCGTTGATTACTCCCTCCCAAACGAAGTCCGCTACCTGTCGATCATCCAGCTTAAAAATGGCATTGATAAGTACTGGAGGAAGACTGCGCCCAAGTAAGCTCCAGTATTTGTGTCACACTACTAAATATACTGACTGTGAACAACAAAAGTGCCATCAAGCCGGAGGAGAAAGTGCGGATCAGATCAAGAGCCCTGGAGGCTGGAGCTGTCGAACCTGACGCCAAACTTGCTCTTCACAATGCGCTGATGATTGCGAAGATAGTGCGGTTAGAGTTCCCATTAGAATGGTAGGATAAGCGCCCATCTTTTTTCTGTGCCGGGGGTTTGTTGCTAATCTACTTGTATTTTCAGGCCCGACGCGATTACGTCCGTGATTACATTGCTTCGAGCATCCTTCCAACTTGGCAGCAACCCGTTACAACTTCCCCGTACACTTCTTATCCTCTTGCATATAATCAAAGAACTCGCCACGGGGAGATTGCAGCGGATTAAAAGGAATCTATTCACGGTTGCGCCGGAGATATTTCACATTCTTGCCAATATATATGTTGAAAAAGTCAACAAGTGGGGAACCTTCCTAGAGGCTAGTAGTGGGGATGACGAGGGTGGAGCTTTGGAAGCTTTGGATGAAAGCCTCATCACGCTGAAGACCATGCGCCGGCTGATAGTTGCAGGCTTCGAGCATCCTAATAGGGACAACGATGTTCAGCAATTTTGGGCCCTATCCCTTACTCATCTGGGCAATTTTTACTCTTTATTGGAACGAAAATCATCGGAGCTGGCACCTAATGTCTCAAGATTACTTGAAAGACATATTGTACAACTATCCAAGCTCCATTTAGAGATGGCTAAGAACCATCCCGCAGCATTCGCCTTGTTTCCAGGTTGCGTTGACCTTGCTCGATCATACTGGGGACTGGTGGTTGAGCTCGCGAAATTATACGACCCAAATGACATGTCTCGAGTCGCAATTGGAACTGACGGTGACGCTGATGACGACGAAACCCCTTTCCTAGAAAAGATTGCCTTGAAGGGCCTCCTTATCTTGCGGACATGTATCAAAATGGCATTTTATCCCGCGCACACCTTCAAATATCAACATGCTCAGGACAAAGAAGAGAAAAGTCAATCTATCGAACTAATCAAGTCTCAGCTACTCACCCACGAATTCGTAGTCCAGGTCATGGAACTGCTTATAACCCGTTTCTTTGTCTTTCGAGCAAGCGACCTTCGCCAATGGGAGGAAGATCCCGAAGAATGGGAGAAGCGTGAGGAAGAGATTACAGATGCATACGACTTTTCCATCCGTTCTTGCTCTGAAAAAGTTTTTCTAGATCTCCTCATCCACTTTAAGGAACTTCTTGTCCCCAAATTACTACACGTATTTTACTCCTATGCCAGTGAGTCTATCCACCACTTGGGTTTACAACATAACATTTTCTTAACATCGTCTAGACCCTCAGAATCAGGAAGTTCTCTTGAAAGATTCCCTTTATTCCGCTATTGGCCTTGGTGCTGCAATTTTAGAGAAGCAGCTTGATTTCAATGCATTTTTATCATCTACTCTTATTCCAGAGGTTCAAATCCAACATCCAGGATATAATCTACTGAGGCGAAGGATAGCAATACTGCTCGGACAATGGGTACCCGTGAAAGCCGACGAATTAGACATGCCGTCAATTTACCAAGTTTTTCAACATTTACTCAACAAAAGTGACCCTACTAATGACCAGGTTGTTCGGGTCACTGCGGGCCGCCAACTTAAAAATGTGTTGGAGCCGTTTGAATTCAGCATTGAGCGGTTCTTGCCCTACGCGACTCCCACACTTCAGAGCCTCATGGACCTGGTTAGCGAAGTTAGTCTATCAGAAACGAAAATGGCACTTCTTGGAACGGTTCGCATTGCTATAGTGAAAATGGAAGACCATGTACGTCGTGCTTCAACATGCCTCACAAACTCAGGATACTGATATATACTAGATTGCCCCGTATGCGGACCAGATTGTCTCTTTATTACCACAATTGTGGGAACAATCAAGTGAAGAAAACCTCATGAAGCAAGCAATCCTCACGCTACTTTCTTCCTTAATCCATTCCATGAAACAAGACTCGGTCCGATATCATCAGATAATCATTCCTCTCATCCAAAAATCCGTCGATCCTGGATCGGTATGCATGCCCTTTCCATATTTATATCAGCATCCTTCTAATAATCAATAGGAGGCATTGGTTTATCTATTAGAGGAAGCCCTGGACCTGTGGTCTGCAGTTCTCATGCAAGCTCCTTCCCCAGCGTCGCCGGAACTTCTCCAGCTTTTACCATATCTCTTCCCTGTTTTCGATATTGGCACCGAAAGTCTCCGCCAGGCTTTAGAAGTTACCGAGTCCTATATTCTTCTTTCCCCTCAGGAGATGCTCAACGACAATATCCGCTTCCGGCTGCTCGTTGCGTTGGAAGCCCTCCTTAGTTCGACTACGCGACAGCGAATTGGAGTGGTTCCGCATCTTGTCGAACTGCTTATCCGAGCAGTAGAGCTTGTGGATCCTGGAAACGAACAAGCCTATTCAGTTGTGGCCAAATCTCTTCTGGATTCTTCGTTCCTACTAACACTTCTTTCTGGTCTCCGTGAGACTTACGAAGCCCACCTCACCACCGGGCCAAATAAAAAATCCCCAGGCGTCGACGGCGTTGTGGAAACGGATTATTTCTCTGTCCTCGCACGGATTGCCCTCGGCAGCCCCAAAATATTTATCTCCTCCGCCGTATCTTCCATGAGCCATTCATCCGAAGAAGAAACCGTCAACTGGATCTTGACAGAGTGGTTCTCCCACTTTGATAACGTGGGCGACATTAACCGCAAAAAGCTACACGCGTTGGCTTTAACACACCTCCTCTCTATAAACGGCCATTCAATATCACCCCCAGCCTACCTCCTCAAACATCTCCAGTCCTATCTTGTTGTGTGGACCGACCTTATCAGAGAACTATCCGAAGGCACCGACTATGATCCTAACGATCCGCGAGGCGGCGACTATCTCATTGTCTGGAACACAGACTCAGCAGATCAAACTAATGGGAAATATCAAAGCAACGAGTCGCCCGAAACCACCCGCCGACGGGCTTGGAGCAATGCCGACCCTGTGCATAAGATCAATTTCCGCCACTTTGTCACAGAGAATCTGCGGGGAGTTGTTGGGGCGTGCGGTGGGATGGACAAGTTTAGAGACGAGTGGCTGATTAATGTTGATCGTGAAGTTGTAAATGGCTTTGGGGAGTTGGGGTTGTTGTGATACGATACGGGCGGTGCTATCGTACAGGCTTGGGAAGTGGATACAGTGATACCAAGAGCCTGCCTTTCCTGACAGGAGGTGTAATGGCACAATTTTTTTTTCTTCCGCCCTCTTATTTACCTTTCTATTCCTTTTGCTAAGTTTTCATTATGTTTGAAACCCTAGCTACCAACCCGTTGAGAAACTCATACATTGCTCGATGAATTTGGGGGTGCTGTCTCAAGGCTGCAACGAGAATGGAAATGAATCATACAGAAAATATAAGAAAATATACCAAATGTACCGTAACCTTCTGTGCAATTATGTTGCTCTTAAGTAGTATTTGAGAGATTTCATGAAAAGTAATAAAAAATGGGATAGTTTTACTAACAATGTGTCGTCTAGATAACCACATCCCCATTTCCATGCAACGGAGGAGTACATGGATGGCAAATAATAAGATAGATCAATGACTTCTATTAAACGTATGCAGCGCAAAAATTAAAATTTTCGAATGTATATAATTGTTCACTTCAACATCCCCCCCCCCCAAAAAAAAACATTGCAAATCCATCACTTGCAACCACCGTACTTTCTATCCCTGAAAGGCTGTGGGAACAAGCCTGCTGACAAGAGGTCCTGCATATCCCACTCAGGCGACCCTTCTGTCTTCCACGTCCAGAAGAACCACCCCGCACAATTTTCATAAGCGTCCAGCTGAGCCTCAAGAAACCGTCTGATCTCCGCTTTTTGCTGAGCAGGAAGCCGTCCAACGGAGCCAAAGTACCTCCCACCACAAGCGCCCGAGGGCTTGCCGTTGGGATGCGACTTATCAAACCGCGCCCCCATACCCCTTCCATTAAGATATTTGGCACAATCGGTCATGGCGGCGGTCCACTCCCCAACAAAAGTCCTTTTATCCGTCTTCGCGAGCTTTTCACGTCCAAACGAGCATGCAAGGTTGACGTGTTGGTCTACGTTGAAGTTTACAAGCGCATTGTCAAAGACTTGGTAGTGATGCACGTCGAGTTGGACATTGTGGAAATTTTGAGATGGGAGCATGAAACCGTTCCAGGAAGGGGGGTCCTGGAAAGCGTCGGATATTGCAACGCCGACGTTGCGGTTTGCGTTCCGCACGATCTTATAGCCATCGTGATAGAATCTTTTGACTTGGCTGAGCGGTACACCACCCGGCACGAAGGGCTCGTTGATAATTTCGATGGAGTCCACGACGTCGGTTTGGTGGGCGTAACGCTCTGCGAGGGCGCGAACGGCATTCAGGGTTTGGGCTACTGTCTCCCCCTTTGGCCAGTTGATGGGACCACGGCGACCACTGTTGTCGAAGCCGTTTTGGGAGCCCGGAGCTAAACCGTGATACCGAGTCAGTGAATGGGGATTGACCTTCAACTATATTTAGGAGCTAAAATTTTTAATAACTAACCACCATGAAGGTCAATTGCAACTTTGAGGTTTGATTCTCTGGCCCATCTAAGCGCCTTATCCATATAGCCAACTTGGCCCTGGACATATGGCTCTCCCTTCAGGGGAGCTACCGCCCAGTAACCTATGGGGATCCTGACATGAGTCAATCCCGCCGCTGCAATCTGCTTAAAATCCTCTGCAGTGATCCACGAGTTCCAATGTTTCGATAGTCGTGATTTGGCATTGCCGGCGAGAACTTGGCTCAGGGTGTACTCATCCACTGCTCGATCCCCTGCATTTTCGAAGACAGAAGGCGTTATCCATGGCTCCAGGACTAGCCACCCGCCCAGATTCACGCCATAGATCCACTCCTTGTTTTCGCGGGATGCAAGGTGAGGCGGGGCAGCATGAGGCGTGGCAGATGCCATGACCACCCATGCGAGAAAAAAGCAAGCGAAGACTAGCTTGAAAGGCTTAAGTGTCGCCATGATCTATCACTGGCGAAAACAACTAGAAGATAGGGAGAGAATCTCTCAGTAGAGAAAAGCAGTGTGGAGGAAAGCAGCCATGGGCAGCTTTATAATGTAGCACATCTTCCCCATGCTAAGTACGTGTAGAACAGGAGGAAGCTGCATAGGGGGTCATAGTTAGCCTGGGAATGCCCCAAATGTCAAATCAGGAAAATGATAAACAGTTTCTGAAGATCGAGTCAAGAAAAGGTTGAGTTACTGAACAGTTGTTTCCATATCTAAATGGTTGGCCAACACGGTTGGTCGACATTTAGGAAAGGATATCATTCCGGAACCCCCGCAACTCCGTACAGGAGTTGGGATTTCAGCAACCAGCGGACTACGATGAGGCGGTTACCCAATTGGTATTTTCTTTTCCCTTCTATTTCCCCTCAGTTCTGGATACGGCACGCATTTTGCCAATTCCAACAATAATATCACCACGAAGGCGTCACACAGTCTATGGTAGCTGTGGAAAACTTCGACTACTGGACGCCACTGTGTGATGTGCGACACTCGCATGCGAATGCCGGGAAAGTTGACGGAGCATATCTCAACTGCATAGACATGGCCAAGGGCGGGAGAGAATATAATAGAATCCAGCGAAGTGATGATGCTCGGATTTCGCAAAGGAGTTGTGGCCTTGAAAGAAATGCAGTGGCAGTCAGTGGGAGTCAGTGGGAGACCATCCTTGCCGCTGGTTGAATAGACCCAGCTGGCATTGAATTTTAGGCTGTGGCTAGCCAGGAGTATCATGCATCATTAGAGGCAGAAGACTCTGGCCGAGTCGATCATGATAATATATACGTCTTGCCCGAGGTCTTTTGCAACCTATATTTAGGAATGATAATAATGTCCCATTAGGGAACACAGTAAACTATCTTGGACGATCCATGGGAGTAGTAGCCTAAATCCCTAACCTATAGGCGGCAAGATTGTGAGAGGGCCATCCGCAGTATTTACCGTCTGATATATCTTATTCTACAGTCATTCAGAGGACAAGAGTATCCTCCTATTCCATTCCAAGGTTTATATTTCGCTACTCATGTTTATATTTTGCATGCTAAGTTTAGGATCGGTACCATCAACGATTCATTATTATTAAGACGACATTGTGCTCTCAAGTCACCACGAATAATGAGGGCTCCATCGTATATTTCATTTAGACTCTACGCTGCGTATCCGTATATGGATGCCGGGTTAAAGCTCCCGTCTCCCATCCCGTTGCGTTGCGCCGCTTTCCCGCAAATCCTGAAACCTTAAGCCCCTCACTCGTAGTAAGTTAGTAAAATAGATATTTTACACTGTCCGTACCAGCATTACAATAATGAGCACGCATCAATGATAGTTACTGATTGTATTAGTAATCAAGCTCTAGATCCTGAAGGAGAGTCTGAAGTGTATACAGAAAACTTGACCTCGCTAAGTGCGCCACTTGACCTCGTTACATAATCATGACCCCGACCTCTGTAACGTGCGGAACCGAAGCGGTGGCTAGTCGGCGGCGACACGTAGGGGTAGTTGTTTGGGAAGCCGTATGGGTGGGCTTGACTATCTTGCTTGAATAGCGAGCTCGTAGGCTACAGGGTTATTGCGAGGATATCACAGATATGGTACTTAGTATACTAAGAAGATTGTATGAGGCATGCAGTAACTCTTGTGTATATTCCTGTAGGAGCAAAACAAATCGCTGGCTCCTTTGATGGGGAGCCAGCATCTAGCTATTCTATATAGACAATGGGTGGATACCCTCCTCCCATTCCACAAGCGAGGATAGCCGGAGTGATACCTCAGCGGCGCCTCATTGCCAAGGAAGAGTAATCTGCTGACCTCATATAGAAGCAGGGTTCTCATATCCATCAATCAGATCTTCCTATGATATATCCAAATGATGTCATAGAGTGGTTGAAAACCAGTTCAGATGGGATGAAATCATCCGCATGGAAGCAATGAGCTGTGTGAAACTGTAACAGGGCCTTGGCACAGCTGGGAGCATGACAATGTCCTCCTCTTTAAGGGCATAGTCTCTATGTTCTCAAGATTACCAGATTAGGAATTATCTTTGTTGTATAACAACAGTTGTCAATTGATTGACAGTATATATGCTGTGTGTGATACAAAGAAATAGATGAGTTTTTCTGCTAACTGTATAGATCTTTCTTTTCTCATCATCATTCAAATCAAATACATGATAAGTGAGTTTCTTATATATTAATTTGAAATGTGGAAAATATAGTTAATAAGTAACTTGTAGATCTTTCAATATATTTCATTCTATGTATAAAATTCTCTGTAAAAGTGATATGTTTTAGAGACAAAGCTAACAGTAGTAGCAGAATTTTTTCAAAAAGATCTTCTCTCTCTGTGATACATTTTTCTCTCCTCTCTCTCATCTGTAATAGTGAGTGCATGAGAGTATCATTCTTGAAGAACAGTAGAGAGCTTATTCTGACATTTTCTAGTGAGTAATAAATGTCTTTGTGATGCAGTGACAGTCTCTATAATCACTAAGAAAGTCAGATTGAAGACAGAGACAGCAGTATCAATGAGCTGTGAGAGTATTACTCTTATTATCACATCTTCTTCTGTAGGCTACTGGGGCAAAAGAGCTCAATCACCATCAGCACACTGCTGGTAGAAGGGCCGACCAACCGCGGGACTCTCAACACCCCCTCTCAGACCAGCTATCACAGAGTACAATACTTCTCCTCAGTGGCTCTCTTCAGTGGCCTCTTCACAATGACTTCTTTTAATAATGAACTCAGTCAGTTCTAGAGCTCACAGGACTTCTAGAGCACACTTCTGAAATGTCTCTTGACACTGTTAAAATGTTCAAGGGTATTTGTTAGGAATTTTTAAGTTCATTCTGAGATTGAACTCATGCATGTTGACCACAGCAGGGCTCACACTTAACAGTCTCATAATCTGTAGACTACTGGGGCAAAAGAGCTCAATCATCACCAGCGCACTGCTGGTAGAAGAGCCGATCAACCGCGGGACTCTCAACATCTTCTTCTTCTACTTCTTTTGTAGCTGTAGTGATAGTTATCATATCTTGCAGTGAGATGTCATTTCTTCTGCTGATCAGTTCATTTATATTCAGTTCATCTCTCACTCTTCTTACTGCTGTTATAATATCATCCCTTCTCTCAGTTAATACAGTGATGTATAATCTCATGTGATCATTCAGAGAGAAACTCAGAGAGAGCTTGATTTCAGAGACAGTAACTCTGAGAAGTTTAATCTATAGTTTCTCTCTCACAGCATATCTGAGCTCTGCTCAGAATACTGCTGAGTTAAGTCTACAGAGTCTCACAGTTCTTTCATCTTCTCTCTGTGAGAAGGTTTCAGTATAATCTCTAATCAGTATTATCATCTGTCTGTGCTGTGCTAAGCAGCTGAAGAAGAGAAAGATTTTATATATCTATCTCTTCTTTCACTTCTATTATTTCTGTTATATCTGTAACAACAACTTCTGTCTCTCTGTAAGTATTATCTTATAGAAAGATATTATATCAGCTCTGATAAGAAGTTTAGATACTTAAGTAGTACAGAGTGAGAGTCTCAGAGCTTCAAGTATTAATAAATTCTATTAAGACTGAGAAGGTCTCTTTTACTTATCTGTAAAAGAAGATGAAAGTGTGAATCTTCAAGATAAAAAAACATCTCAGAATAACTGACTTTAAGAAGAAGTTAGTCAGTACTGCTATTGAAAGCACTGCAGAGATTAATCACTGATTGAAGAGAATCTCACTTCAATTGAAGCAGATGACTGAGATACTTTATAAGTTAATAAGTTAATATTTTATATATTTCTTCTACTCTTCTGCAGCACTGCAGTGCTAACTTCTTAGTAGATAAAGATATCAGTGCTGAAGACTTCAACAGTGAAGAATGAGTTTGATAAGAATATGATTATTAATGAGTAGACTCTGAGATTTCTTCTTTTTACTTTTTCAGTGAGCTGCAGTTGTGGTTCGGAAGAACGTACGACCGTCGGATAATAACGCGGCCGCTTCCGAACTACTAGCGTACGCGTACAAATGTAAAGGGGCCCTAGCGGCCGCTAATTAATTTAGTGTATGAGATTCAATATATAAGAAGCCGGCGTACGCCTGTAATCATACACTGGCTTAAGCAACCTTTGAATCACATCTGGTAGCATGTCTAAAAACTGGTGAGAAGTGCAGGCTCCTCCAGGGTGTGATAATTTCATCTATGAAGTGATTCATAGTTATCATGCCAGTGTGGTCCTAGAACATCTCAAAAGATAGTGTATGAAGAGTGGTGAGTGGAAGAGCATTTGATTGATGCTGCTGCTTTGCTTGTTGAGGAAAAACTCCACACTCAGGCGAATGCCACGTATGCAAACAGATGAGATGTGAGAAAAGGAATGAAAGTGATGAACCAGATTCAAAGGAGACCACTCTTCACTCAAAGAGATAAAAGAGAGGAATGGCCACCACCGGAGTCATACAATGATAACAGAAATCATATAATGATATAGCAATAGAATGATATAGCAATATAACAATACAGCAATATAGTGATATAATGATAGACATCATACAATCAATCAGAAATCACTGAAATGAATATCTTCTCTAGCTGATATAAACAACACCCTTCTCTGCTACCTGAACTGGAAGATATGCAGAACCTCTCAGAGGGTTTACTCAAAGCAGTAAGAAAAGCAGCTGAAACTGCTGAATCAGAATCAAAGCTCTGTATGTGTACAAGAATTCTAAACAAGATTGAGGCCTTGTATACACAGTGACAGGCTGAGATGAAGACTAAACAACAATTGATATTCACTGCAGATCAAGTATTCACTATGAAGAGCTTCACTGATGTAATTATCATTATCAATAAGAATAGAGAAAACCAGATCTTAGATCTACAGCAGAAGATTAAATGTTTATATAGATAGATAACTACACTGAATCTGAAGATTTTATCATGATTATTCATGATCTTTTCAGAAGTGTACATCTCATCAAAGATCACTGCACAGAATGAGAATCTGAGTATAAAATATATCAAGTCAGAAGATCTGCTGAAGTTATTAAGCTTCAATAATAACTGAAAAAATGATGCTGTAATCAGCTGACTAAGTCAGATATAATCATATTATCAGATTGAATGTGAACTCACAGACAGATAGTCAATGAAATTTCAACAAGTCTTAAGATCTACTGTGTTTCTATATGAAAAAGTGAAGTCATTATGAATGACTGATGAAAAGATAAATCTCACAGACTTGAAGTGATATTCATTCTCATAAATATGAAATAAGTTTTTCAAGTGAATCTTACACAACTTTAAGAAAATGAATATATAAGATAAGTGTTATAAATGCTTCACTAAGTGTAGATAAGTGAGTGATCTTACATCATACTTTACACACTTTAGCTTACACTATCTTGTGTTGAATGAAGAGCTTTCAACATCTTTCTATTTACAGATCTTTATTCATGATCTTACATCTGAGTTGAGAGTGAAATGAAAATACTTAACCTCACAGTCAGACACAGTGAAGAAAGCATATAACATTCTCATTATATGAGAACAAGTGAGTCAATTGCAATAGAAAATACTACAATTGAGTATATCTCAGTGAAGAATGAGTAATCAGACTTCTATGACACAAGTCACATACTCAGACACAATGAATCTAGATCTGAATGTCATTGTTAAAGCACTGAATTCTCTGAAAAAGAAATCCTCTGAGTGAAAATCTTGATATCACAAGTATCAAGCTTGTTTCAACTGTGAATGTCAAAATCATAGTGCAAAAGATTGTATTTAGCATACACAGTTAAAAAACTAGCAGGATCAGTGAGCTCAGAGACACTTGCTGATATTCTATGAAAAGTCTTCAAAGTGAAAGAGATGCTCATGTTAGATGATTCTCTGAATTCTGTGAATACAAAGAAGAAGCAGGCTTCTGACTGAGATGTAAGTGAGAATGAAGTAGACACTCATCTCAATGCCTTGAGGTCTGAAATGTTAATGTATAAGAGGCACTTGAATAAGAATTGAGAGATGGCTGCAAAAGTATTAGCAGATACAGAAGCTTTGATGCAATATATTGATGATTATATAATCTGAAGATTGAAAGAGGTCTGCTGAGTAAAGAATCTTCAATGTATAAGATTATCTGATAACTGATATTTGATATCATCTGTAAAAGTAAGAGTTCTCTTGCACTTCAGAGAATGATCTTGCTATATTTAAGCATGAGAGCTGCAGAATGTGAAATATAATCTTATTCTTAAACTTGATTGATTTCAAAGGTTTAATCTGCAGATTCAATGATGTACATGTCATATGCAGTTGACTGATAGAAAGAAAATGATTTATACAATTCTATCAACTGATATGAGAAGAACATTTCATATCTCTGATATAGAAGAGTTAAATCTGCTTACACATTAACAAGTAAAGAGAATGATTTGCAAGACCTCATCTGAAAGCATTCTGTATATCATACAGAACTCAGAAGTGAAGGAAACCAAGATAAAAGATATGTAGAAGAATAAGTGTATGAAGAAGCTTCTGAAGAAGTATGAGAAGATCTTCTGAACAGATCTTTCATCAGAATTGCTGCTGAAACAAGGATTTGTACATGAGATTGACACAGAGAATGCAAAACCAGTCAATCAGAATGTGTATTCTCTGTCATAAACATATCTTGAAGAACAGAAGTGTCAGATCACAGACCTTCTAGAATATAATCTCATATAATTCTCATTAAGTGCGTGAGGCTTTCCAGTTCTATTCATGAAAAAGGCGGGTGAAGAGTGATGAATGTGTATTGATTATTAAGCACTTAACAAGCTTATGATCAAGAATGAATATTCACTGTTATGAATTCAACAACAGTTGAATACAGTTGAAAATGCCTGATATCTATTAAAGATTGATCTTCTCTCAGAATACTGGCAGATCTGTGTAGATGAACTGTCAGTTCTGTGAACTGTGTTTAATATATAATGAGAGAAGTTTGAATTTCTAGCAATGTCATTCAGTCTGATAAATGCACTTATCATCTTTCAAATGATGATGAATACAATTCTTTATAAATAGAATAAAATCTCATGTCTTGTATATCTTAATAACATTCTAGTCTTTTCAAACTCATATAATGAACATCTGAAGTATCTTGATAAAGTGCTTATAACTCTGACAGAGTATAAGCTCTATATCAAATCAATCAAGTGTGTGTTTGAAATGAAAGAGTTGAAGTTTGTGAGACATATAGTGAGTGATGACTGTATACATCTCATTCTGAAGAAATTGAATGTCATAGTGAATTGATCACAGCTGAGAAATGTACATTATGTACAACAGTTTCTTAAATTGATCTCATATTACTGCAGGTTCATCAAGGATTTTACACAAATATCTGTATCACTCTTGAATCTCTTAAGAGAAACAGATGCAAATCTGTGAAAGAAGAAGTTTTATTCAATTATCTGAAATGCTGCATGCAAAGAGGCTTTTCTCACACTGAGAAAATGTGTAACAACATTCTCAGTGCTTATTCAACCAGATTGTAATAAACCTTTCTACATCAAGATGAACACATCTGAATAAGCTATCAGAGACACTCTTCTACAGATGAGTAAGAACAGCAAGCTGCATCTGATGGCATATGATGGTAGAAAACTATCAGGTGCTGAGCTCAATTACTCAGTATATGAAAAGGAATTGCTAGTGATCAAGTACACACTGATGTTGTGAGATAGATATATTAACAACAGACATATGACAATGATGATCACAGATCATGAAAGCCTCATCTATCTACAATTAATGATAAAACCTTTCAAACATTTAGCATGTTGAATCTCAGAGTTTCAAGTGTATAATCTTCATATCAAATACTGAAAGAAATTGAATGCAGTGATACTGAATGCAATTAGTTACAGATCTGATTTCATGAGTGAGAATTCTGTGAACCAGACACAAGAGATGTTTGTGTTAAATATGCTGAGAGAATGCAAGGAATCAGAATGAGTGAATACTATGATCTCTCACTTGAAGAATGACAAGATATTGAATGATAAGTGTCTTGTGAAAGTAGTAGAAGAGATGCTTCTGAACTTCAAGCTGAGAAAATTGAAAAACAATGTTATGCTTTACTGCAATCTAGAATATGCAGAAGCTCTCTATCTAGAATCTCTATTTCAATGTGACTTGATGACTCACATGCACAAAGAATTCAGTCACTTAGAAAGCTCTGAACTCATGAGTGTACTTGAATCAAGAGTGTACTGACTAAGCATAGCTGAGAACATTCAGACATATGCTCACAAGTGCCTGAATTGCCAGATTACAAAAGAATCTAAGAAAGGGTTAGAACATGAAGAAGCACAATATCAGATAAAGTATATGATACAATCATTTAAATGATGAGAGATGAACCTCATAGACATATTGCTGTAAATGTCAAATGAAAATTGATGAATAATCACTGCTATTGATTATGCTACTGACTGGTCAGTCACAAAAGCAGTTTCAGAGATGATAGAGAAGGTGATGATGAAGTTTCTATATGATGAGATCTATATCAACTATGAAATACCACATGAGATTTTAACTGATAACAGTGTGAACCTTGTAGGAGAAGTGATGAGGCATTTTATGAGCCAGTTACAGACAAGACATTGTAGAACAATATCATATCATCTGTGAACAAATAGAAAGATGAAACACTTAAATGAAATCTTGAGCAACATGCTGATGAAATATCTAGTGAGTAAGTCTACAAGACTATGAGATGAATATCTCAGGCAGGCACTATTGATCACATGAATTTGACAGCATGCAGTCTTTAAGCATTCATCATTCTATCTGTTGTATGAATTGCATCTGCGCATTCTGAAGAATGCTTCAGAAAAGATAAGAGAGAAAGCAGTTATAGATGCAACAGTAGCAGTTACAGACACAACAGTCACAGATGCAGAATCAAGATTGAAAGAGATCAGTCACACACATACAAAAGCTAATGAGTTACTTCTGAACTGAGTAATTCAATTGAAAAGAATACAAGACTCACTTGTTAAGAAATCAAGTCTCAAGATGAGAACATGAGTTCTTATACACAATGAGAGTTCTGAGAAGTTTCAATCTAGGTGATTTAAGCTATATAAGATACTCAAATCACATTCTCTGAGAATATATGCATTGAAAGAATCAGAGAGACAGATCTTACACAACTTAATCAATGATTCATAACTTATGAAAGTAAAGATGCAAGACCTGAGTGAATTATGATTATCTGCAGCATTATTATCAGTGTTGAAAAAGAAGAGACTTACAATTGAAAAGTCTCACAAAGTAAGAGAAATCATAGACACTTATGAATCAGATGATCTCACTTATTTCAATCTTTTCACAATTACAAGGAAAGAATGAGAAGAAATGAAGAAATCAGATGAATATCACACTTCAATAAGTGATGAGACTATAGCTGATTGTATGATAATGTATTATAGACAGCAGATGCAACATAGCAAAGAGCAGTCTCAAAGCAGCAGACTTATACATGAGTCAGATTGCAGAAGAAAAAGAAATTCAGAGTTGAATTTAACTGTTTATATCAGTTCAATTGTGAAGATCACAGAGAATGAACTATCTGAAATATTCACAGACATATGAAACTAAGTCATCTCAATCTCTGAGAATACTCAGAGATTGAGTAAGATTAGTTTTGATGAGCTGTTCACTGTAGTGATCTGAGTGAGTGAAGAGAGACAGTATAATACATGAGACAGAATCACAAAAAGTTAGAAGCTGCTGAACCTAGTCACTGAACACTGTATCATATAGAGATTGTGTAAGAGTAGTGACTAGCAGATAAAGAAAAAGCATAAGAAAAGAGATAATGAATTGATCATTAACTGTAAGAATCAGCTGCAAAAGATAAATGTTATCATACACATCTCATTCATTTTCATACATCACATGTTTAATCTATTTCCAACATCACACCATCTGAAAAATGTCAAAAACAAAGGAAATCTCAAAACTCGAGATCTGCAAGAGATTCAAGAGCTGTAAGTCACTCTCACAACAACACTGTGCATGTCTCTGATTTCTCTATCACTCTGTGTACAACATTAATGTCATTTATCACAAGATTGGCTGAAATGCCAATATAGAAATGCGCATGCATACATGTAGAGAAATTGGAGAAGAGTATGAAACCCGCAGAATCAGAAGTCAGAGCAGAGAGGGCAGAGATGAAAGAAACAGAAGAAGGAGAAGATGCAGAACTGAATGAATAATAGCAGAAGTCACTCAGAGCTGAACACTTACAATCTGATGTGTGCACAACCTTTTCTGCAGAGAAGGGAGAGAAAGTGACAGAAGAAGCTTGAGAGCAGAAGAGAATAGTCTCAGCAGTGTTATCATCTTCAATCAGAATGACCTCTGACATCAGAGCAACTAAGAACTATTGTTAGTGTATGAAAATCACAAAATCAGAGATGAGAACAGTTACTGAATGAACATCTGCTGACCTTAGAGTTGTACATGCAATTACAACACACACAAGGCTTCTCAGAAAGAGAGAGAGAGACACAGAGAAATGCAGGAAGCAGAATGCAGTGTGTGAACAGCTCATTTCTATGACAACATCTCAGACAAGGCATACAAGCCTCACACTCACAGATATAAAAGAGTATGACATTCACATTTCTGTTTCTGAAAACACAGATATTCTTCACCTGCATCATGAAGTCAGATGACAACTGCCAGAGAATAGACTGATACAGATTAATCATTTCAAAGATATTAGTCAGAGCAGACATATCTGCAATATTGAATTTAATAATTGTGAAAAGTTTTTTAATGTCTGTGAATGCCATGACTTTGTGCACAGTAAAACTTATAACAATTTTCTCTAAGAATAGAAAAATCAGTGTCAGAAAGAAAAGATGAAAAGAAAAAGACTTACAATCTCAATACTGTTGAGAAGAGAAGTGATTCTCTGATATGAATGAATAATTGTCTCACTATGAATATTTAAAACAAATGTAATAATCAGTGTCTGTGACTGAGCTTCAGATAGTTGTGTCATACACTGTCTTCATGCAATAAATCATTCTGAGAGTCAGTAAGAAGGGCAGAAGCATACACACTGAGAGATATGATTCATTAAGCCTATGCAATATCTCCTTGAAATGAGAAGAGCTAGTAATGAAAGCAGAGGTAGCAAAACCAGGGGTCACAGAAACAGGAGTAGCAGAAGCGGGAGAATCAGACACAGAGGCAAGTGTAGAAGATTGAGAAGTGACAGAGAAAGAGACAGAGAGAGGAGCAGCAGAGAAAGAAGCAGCAGAAGAAGCAAGAGAAAATGCAGAAGACTCAGTCACACATGATACAGATAATTTCTTCATTATCATATTCTTCAAGTTCTCAATCAAGAATGCAATATCAGGTTCACTATCATCAGCAGACATGAATCTGTCAACACATGAAGATTCTACATAAATAAAAACAAACATATCAGCATCTGCATTCACACAAAATCATGTCAGAAAACATGATCAGAAACCCGCTGAGAAGAGAAACAGTCAAGAGTATATGAGAAAGTAGAGAGAGTGTATAAGAAGGTGAAGAAGATGTGTCATTCATAATAGTACATTCTGACAATTGTTAGAAGATAAACAAGTCCTGGCCACATATGTTTCACAACATGTTACACTTACTGCTAATGAACTGCTCAGTATGAGCACTATGATGATACTTATTGTGAGAATGAGAGGTCATTGTCAGAAACATGTACAATATAATAGATGAATAGATGAAAAGAGTTAAACAGAAGAAGAAACAGAAATCTTGAATGAAATAGTGACATTCAATGATGATGATGATGAAGAAGATGATTGAAGAATGAGAAAAGTTAGTGAATAAGTGATGTAATATAGTAGAAGTTTCTTTGTGAGAGCATACACAGAACACTAGCTGGATCAGAAATAGGCCACACAATTGTGAAACACTAGTGGCGAGCTAATCCGCATGAAGCTAGGGTGAATGATATGGTCATGTGGGCGTGACTGAATCTGATGGGGGAGAATGTGGTTCAAAAGAATGTACAACTGTCAGATAATAACACAGCCGCTTCTGAACTACTAGCATATGCGTACAAATGTAAAGGGGCCCTAGCGGCCGCTAATTAATTTAGTGTACGAGATTCAATATATAAGAAGCCGGCGTACGCCTGTAATCGTACGCTGGCTTAAGCAACCTTTGAATCACACAGTCTCACTAAAATAGCAGCAGCTTACAGATTGATTAATATTAATCTTTTTTATTAATTTTAAATATCTCTTCTCTCTAACTGCTTCAGAAATTTTATACTTGTATAGTCTCATTAAACTTCTAAAAATTCTTTAGAAGAAAATAGAAGAAGAGTGCTACAGAGTCTATAAGATATCAGCTCATCACTGTGAGATTATCTCTAAAAAAAAACTCTTTGAGAAAAATGAGAAGTCTTAAGCAGTATTTCTTACTCAACATCTCTGATGTGTAATGAGATCATCTCTACTAGCTATCTTATAGATTACAATCTCTTTCTCAGTATTTTTCAAATACTCAAGCAGTTTTCATAAATTCTCTGACAATGAATAATCTTCTTATTTAACAAGATATTGAAGCTTACTGTAATATGTTCACTTATTCAATATTTTCTTCACAAGATATTCAGTATCACTCTCAATCTCAATATTATTCAGTCAAGACAGCTCTGTCTTAAAGTATTACTTATAGAGCTTTAAATAGAAAATGTGAAAAATAGAATGAATTGATTTCAATTCTGTGAGTAATTTCAACTTATATGTCTGCTTACTCATCACTCTTATTATTAGAAAAGATTCTAGTCATCACTTACTGAGCTTCTTACACAGTCTCATTATCTTGATATTCTTTGCTGAAAGTAGTACTTAATTCTCTATCAAGAACTTCATCAGAAGATGTTTTCAATTATAGTATTTTATCTATCACTTCTGAGTATAGTAGATGCTTTTCATCATCTTCTTATGAATTTTATTTAAAAGTTTCAATCTCACTTTTACTTCTAGTACTGAGAGATACTTCATTCTCTATATCTATCTAACATTCTGACTGTCTATCTCTCTCTTTGAAACATTGTCTGCAATGTCACTGAGTAATGAAGAATTATATTTATAATAAGCATAGAAAGAAGATATCTTTAAGATTGTATTCTTTACATTGTTATATATAAATTCAGTAGTCAGAAGATGTTTAAGTCAATCATTCTGATAATATAAATAGAACACTCAAAGATGCTGTTCTAGTGTCTGATTCTAATATTCAGTCTGATTATCAATCTGTGAATGAAATACAGTACTGAGAAGATGCTTTATTATAAGATGATAGTAAAAAGCTGATCAGTACTTGCTGATAAAGAGGGATTCTTAATCTGTTATCAATGATTTCAAAGTACTGTGATTATAAATGATGATATCTAAAAACAGATCAGTTAATTCAGAGGCTTTAATCTTTTTATAAGTAGAAATATATCTAGTCATCTTTATAAAGCAGTTAATAATGATTAAAATTGAGTCATATTCTTTAACTCTTGTCAACTTCAGCAGATCAACTATGAAATTCATCAATAGATTCTATCATAAGTTCTTTAAAATAGACAGTGATATCAACTTACTGTATTACTTATACTGTGAAATCTTTATTCTTTAACAGATATTATAAGTCTCAATATACTCTTTAATATCTGCTTAGAGCTTGTCTTAAGTATATTTATATTTTAGAAGCTTCTCAGTCTTCTCTAATCTGAAGTGTCTTATATGAGAATTATTATAATAAATTCTCAATAACTTCTGACACACTGCTCTGCTATAAGAGATAAAGACTGAATCATTCAGCAGTAGAAGTTCATATTCTTCTAGTTATCAGTAACTTGATTTCTTAACAGTATTATCTCACTCAGAGTCTGTCTCTTTCAAGTTCAAACTGAATTCTTTCTTCTTTAACTTCTGAATTCAAGCTGCAGTAGAGATGTCCTTCTTCTATAACTTATCAATGAATTTCAAAAGTAGTCAGATTGAAAGATTATAAATCATTTCATTCTTTATCAATTCAATGATTGTAAGATGTGACATGAGAAGCTCATAATCTTCAGTGTCAGTTCTCTGCAGAGACCTGAGTTCTCTTTCATCTTCTATACTGAGTTACACAGCTGTCTCTTCAGCACTGTTTCTGAGCTTTAGAGAATCTCAATTCTCTGCAGCCAGCTTCTTCTGCAGTGATGACAGAGATTCTTTTATAGAATTCTTCTTCATATTAACAATATTATAATCAGGCTGTCTAGACAGCATGTTAGTGAGATTAAGTTAATCTGAACAGTATTAAATATAGAAATCATACTCTGAAAGCAGCTCTGCTCATCTGGCTTGACATTCTATCAAGCTCTTTGTTATTAAGAAGTAATACAGATTTGTATAATCAATGAGAACTTGCACTGAGTACTTACTACTCTGAAGATAATATTATCAGATCTTAAAGAATTTAACAATTACTAACATTTTCTGATTATAAGTATTATATCTTCTCTGTGTGAGTGATAACTTCTTGAAGAAGAAGATCACTGATCTTTATTCACAGTGTCTTATAGACTCTGTGAAAAAGTCTTCTTTCACAGATAATTCATTATCTGTTTTCTCAAAGATAATTATTCTCTGATTCTTTCAACATTGAAAGATCTTCAGTATCAACTGTGAAAAGATTTCACAGACTTCATTTCTGAATATATCAGTCTCACACTGACTGAATAAGTCAGAGTTAAAATGATTCAGTATTGTAATATCTGTGAAAGCTTGTTTCAATTCTGTAAATACCTGCACAGTGTCTTAAGTGAGAGTAAATAATCTCATTTTTCTGTCTTTCACACTTCTCTTTAACAGATCTGTAAGAGAAGCAGTAATCTGTGAATATGTATAGATGAATCATCTGTAGAAATTCATAAATTCTAGAAACATCTGCATCTCACAGTACATTCACAGTACTGATTAGTTCTCAATGACAGAGACTCAGCTTCTGTTTATTAAAATGTCATTCATCTCAATAATATAATCTAAGAAATCAATCTTCTGTATGTAGAATAAGCATTTTTCAGTGTTTATATAGAGTTAATACTGTCTTAAGTAACTCAACACTTCTTAAACATGAGTATCATGTTCTTTCTCTGATTTCAAGAAGATTAAAATGTTATTCAGATATACTATGCAGAAGACATTGACAAGGCTCTGCAGCATCTTATTTATATAGATCTGAAAGATGACTGAAGTGTTACAGAGATCAAAAGATAAAACAAGATATTCAAAATTATCATACTTAATATAAAAGACTGTTTTTTAAATATCATCTTTATTAACTCTGATTCTATAATAGATATTCTGTATATCAATCTTTGAGAATATCTTTGCTTCAGATAATCAATCAATCATCTCATTAATTAATAGTAATGAATAGTGATTCTTAACTGTTATCTTGTTAAGATCTCTGTAGTCTATGTATAGATATAGTCTATTATTCTTCTTAAGTACAAAGAGTATAGATGTCTCTGCTGAACTCTTTGATAAATATATTCAGTTCTTTGATTGCACTTCTTTAAGATATTTATACAGAATATTCAACTTCTTTACAGACAAGTTATAAAGAGATCTGTACAGTATCATTGCATTATCTTTAAGACAAATCTTATATTATATCTTAATGTCAGAAAACTTTGCTGCTTTTCTTTTCAAAAAGACATTCTTAAAATCTGTAAAGAGACATTGTATATATTCATCTTCAATGATAAATACTGCTGCTAATCTTGCAGTGAAAGTGATGACTTCTTCATCTATTCTCAAGTCTTAATCACCTGCTATACAGTATATCAACTTAATCTTTTTCTCAAGATTCTTTCAATAAAACTCTTCAGATTTCTCTATCACTGTCTCTTTATCAGTGAGACAGTACTGTTATATCTGAATAACTCAGTCAATAAGAGAATTGTTTTCTCTCAATTATGAAAGATCTAGAATAATGTTCTTATCTATGATATTAACTGTATGAAGAAGCAGACTGCTTTTCTTAAAGATTTCTTCAGAGTCTGTGATCACACACTTCACTTAAATTATGTTAAAACAGTGACATTTTATTTTATCAGTAAATTTTATATAGTCTGACAGATCTATCTTCTTTCAACTCTTTATCAAAGAAAAGAAATAGAATATGAAGTTAGTATCTATCTCAGAGTTGAGTAAGTATCTCACTGATATCTTCTCATTTGAGATATACATTGTAATTATAATATGAACTCAGAGATGTGAGAATTATCAATTCTTATCTTTCTCTTCTTTATCTTCTGTGAATACATTTGTTAGAAGAGAAGTTAACTTTGAGAAGATATCTTCTCAGTTTCTTCTCTTCTTCAGCTTTTTATAATCACTGATATAGTAATCATCAGCTCTGCAGTTAAAACAGAGATTTTTATTAAATCTTTTTTAATATTTCTTCACAGTGAGTGAAGAATCAGAATACTTGAAATTCTTCTTTACTTTCTTCACACTGAAGTTATTATAATACTATTTAGATTCTGTTATTAATTACTTAGAAGAGATCTTATTAATCTTTTTCTTAAAGAATTAATTATTCAAATAGATTTAGAAAGTCAGGTTGACAAGCTCAGTGCAATTGATTAATAAACTCTGATACTGTGATATTATTATCTGCATCTTATAAGTCAGCTTTGTAAGATAAAGCTGTATTTTTAATTGATTCAAATTATCAGTCAGTTTCTCTCAATATTCTTCAAATCTTGCATTGAAATCAGAAGAATTCTTATTATCTCATTGATGTAATAAGTTGAATCACTACACTGTTATGAAGCTACAGTTGTAGTGATCTTCAATTTAATTCAGTAGAAAGTTCTTAAATTCTTTTCAAGTTATAGTAATATTGATACACTCAAGCTCTCTCTTCTTGATAACTCAAGTAGTTATAGAGATGTCTTCAAGAAGATTGACAGTGTATATTACTTATATCTCATGAGTATTATACTGACTCAGATTAAGATAAAATTTCTGTTCAAGAGTATGAGTAAAGCTGTAAAATTCAGATAAGATGTTTTTCTTATATCTCAGTAAATCTCTGATCTTAATCTCTCTATCTTTATAATAGATATAGATGTGTAGAGACTGCAGTAGTGACAGAGTGATTGAAGAGCTCATATTAAAATATACAGTGAGTTCAGAAATCTCAGATTTCTGTCAGAGTAGAGATGTACACACTCTAGAAAATAATGTAGTATTTTTCTCAGAGAATAAGATCAAGTCAGTTTCAGTATAGATACATAAGATTATATCAGTCTATTAGAGCTTAACTAATTTAAATATATAATCAGATTAAATAATTTGAATTGTAATATATAGAACTGAAGCAGTGACTAGTCAGCAGTAATATATAGAGATAGTTATTTAAGAAGCTGTATAAGTGAGCTTGACTATCTTACTTAAATAGCAAGCTCATAGACTACAGAGTTATTGTAAGAATATCACAGATATAGTACTTAGTATACTAAGAAGATTGTATAAGATACACAGTAACTCTTATATATATTTCTATAGAAGTAAAACAAATTACTGACTTCTTTAATGAGAAGTCAGTATTTAGCTATTCTATATAGATAATGAGTGAATACTCTTCTCTTATTTCATAAGCAAGAATAGTCAGAGTGATATCTCAGCAGTGTCTTATTATCAAGAAAGAGTAATCTGCTAATCTTGTATAAAAGTGAGATTCTTATATTTATCAATTGAATCTTTCTATAATATATCTGAATAATGTTATAGAGTGATTGAAAACTGGTTCAGATGAAATGAAATCATTCACATGAAAGTGATGAGCTGTGTGAAACCGCAACAGAGCCTTGGCGCGGCCGGGAGCGTGACAACCTCGCACAATACAGTAATAATCAGTTGATAATTGACTTTCAACCTTTCAATTCACTCAATCAATCAAAGCATTAGCTGATTCATAATCAATTAAATGAACAGACAAATTCATATAGAATATAAAGAGATATTTTACAGAATTTTAAAATATATTAAGATAAAAATATTTAACAATTAATTTTAAATTGATTTTAAATTGATTCTGAATTGATTGTTAATTAATTATAATAATAAAAATAAATTCAATCTATATATTTAAGTAATTAACAATTGATTGAAAATCAATTGATAATTAATTCAGTGTAAATTATATAAATACTTACTTTATTATTAAATTCAAAAATAATTTCAGTATTAAATTGATTTTAAATTGATTCTGAATTGATTGTTAATTGATTATAATAATAAAAATAAATTCAATGTATATATTTAAGTAATTAACAATTGATTGAAAATCAATTGATAATCAATTTAGTGTAAATTATATAAATACTTACTTTATTATTAAATTCAAAAATAATTTCAGTATTAAATTGATTTTAAATTGATTTTGAATTGATTGTAGAATTGATGATAAATAATTGAGTGGTTTCAAATTACAAGAAAAGATGTATTGAGTGAGGTCAGGTAGTGGCACGGGCCACATTTGCGAGGTCAGCTTACATAACGAGGTCAAGTGGCGCACTTAGCGAGGTCAAGTTTGTTGGAGCTACTACACAAGCCCTAACCCACGTGACCCACACACATATATTTAGCTTTCACTAGCTACTAGTTAGATAACAACAACAACCAACCAATGTTCAACCTCTCTCACAAAGTTTTCTGCTTCCTGGAGTCTGAAAGCCAAAATCATGTAGAGTAATATACTAATTATATTAGAACTAGTGGACTTGGTGTGTGTCTATATAATGAGTATTATGTGGAATTAAGCTTTTACACTGAAAAAAATCCATTTGACTCAAAAATGTCACTACTCCGTACTGCTCCTTGTCTGCTCAGATTTTTTTTTTTTTTGCAGTTGATAACAATTTCTTTGGGATTAAATGGTGATTTCTCTCTCTAAACTTACTTTGTCGCCATAACTCCAAAAGCAAGATACCCAGCTATAAATATCCATCTATACCGCAGCAGGAAACTAGCGAGATATGGCCTTGAGCACAATACCCCTTCTTCTTGACAACCAGCCTGTTATTACAGCTGACTCTTTCGACGTCATCAGCCCAAATACCGGAGCGGTTGTTTACAAATGCAGCTCTACTTCTGTAGCCCATGCAGTGCGTGCTGTTGATTCCGCAAACGCTGCCTTCAAGAGCTGGGCCAAAGTGAAACCTTCTGCTCGCCGTGATATCTTCTTAAAAGTAATTGAGATTTACGAACGACGCAAAGAGGAACTTATAGGATATGCGCAAGAAGAGACAGGATCGAGTCGGATGTTTGCTGAATTCAATTGGGGCCTCGGTCATAACCTGCTGAAAGATGTAACTGGAAGGACGCTTTCGACAGCAGGCACAGTACCTATTATGAGGGATGAAGGCCAGAGTGGCATCGTGTATAAAGAACCTTATGGGGTTATTCTTAGCATTGCCCCGTGGTATTTATAGTTATTTTCTATTTATCTACTTGTGTGGATTTATTTTTTACACCTTGGTATATTAATCATTATGCAATTCTACAGGAACGCGATGTTCGTTTTGGGTCTGCGATCAATCGTTCTACCGCTGGCAGCTGGTAACACTGTCGTACTGAAGGCCTCCGAGCTCTCCCCGAAGTGTTTCTGGGCCCTTGGGGATATCTTTCGTGAAGCCCAACTACCTCCCGGTTGTCTTAATGTCCTCTATCACCGGCCAGCGAGTGCGGCGGAAATCACGACTGCATTGATCGCACATCCTGCTATTCGAAAGATCAACTTTACCGGCAGCACTCAGGTTGGAAGAATAATTGCCTCCACTGCGGGCAAATATATTAAGCCAGTGCTGCTCGAACTTGGCGGAAAGGCCAGTACAATCGTATTGGATGATGCGGACTTGAAAAAGGCCGCAACTGGTTGTGTGATGGGCTCCTTTTTACATGTATGGCTAGACCCCCTTTTCGTCCCTTGGTCACTCCCAACATTCAAAGATACCAAAGAATCACTCCTCACGGACAGGGTTGTACACGTTTAAAGTACAAGAAATTATTGACAAAATAATAAACTTAATAATCGATTATAGGGAGGCCAAATCTGCATGTCTACCGAGCGCATAATTGTCCAACGATCCGTCATCGACGAATTCCGCAACCACCTCCGCGAAACCATGGCTACAAGCAATTCCAACCCTCCTCCCGTCCTTGTAAGCGCCGCGCCCGTCATTAAAAACAGAAATCTCGTCTCAAACGCCGTATCCAAAGGCGGAAACATTTTAGTCGGCGATAATATCAGCACCGAGGAAACACCAAACAACACGCGAATGCATCCCATCATCCTCGAAGGTATAACCCCAGACATGGACATCTACCACACCGAATCCTTCGGCCCGACCGTATCGCTGTACGTCGTCGACACCGAACAGGAAGCCATCCAGCTCGCTAATGATACTGAGTACGGGCTCAGTGCAGCCGTATATACGGAGAATTTGGGCAGAGGTTTACGCGTTGCAAAGCAGCTGGAATCTGGGTACGTGTTCCCCTTCTTTCTGTTTCCTTTTATATCCTTTATCCTTAGCTACACTTTTGGTTTCTGGTCAGGGGGGCTCATTGCCACTTTTTCTTTGTCTCTCTCCGCTTGATAACAGGGCCGTGCATATCAACTCCATGACCGTCCATGACGAACCTGGTCTGCCACATGGAGGTGTGAAGTGTAGCGGTTTCGGCCGTTTCGGTGGCCCCGCAGCCTTGGATGAGTTCCTTACGACAAAATCTGTTACGTGGATGGATGTGTAGAGAGACGTGCACTGCCATCCCATATCATTTTACGTTTACCACACCGAAGGATATCCATGTATAGCTGTCAAATTTATGGCATATATGGGAGCGGGATCTCATCCAAAACATAATTTTTTTGGGGAGCATATTGCATATTGGTATTCAGATAAAGGGTTTTGGTCCACCCACACCCGTGGACTTTTGTAAGGATGATGTAAATAGAAGTGCTGGTAAAAAGAAAATCCATTGGCAACTGCAGCCTCGGGCCGCATGCTTCGTGGTGCATGCATGAGCATCAAGCCAGGCAAATACATATATATATATATATAGATATATATATAGAAGAATGGAAATAAACAACAATGGTCTAAAGTGAAAGACATTAACTCACAGGTCACTATTCAAACAGAGCTACCGCATTCGGGCGACCAAGCAGCCTCCCTTTCAGGTGCTGTCTGGAGGCGCTGCACAGAGCGGTAACATTAATAATAATTGGGCATTGGGATGGGCTGCCACATGGGTAGGGTAGGCAATCCCCGTTCTCCATTATTTACTGAAGCAGCGGGCGAATGTTTGAATCAAAATGAAAAAGCTTTGTCGATAAGCTCGGATTCATCAAGGAGTGGAGTAGGAATGTTTTTACCATTTAATCCGGACATAGGAATCCTATTCTTATGTTTGAACGGCCTGGAGGCTGTTGTTGGTCTGCCACAGAGTCGAACTACGCTGTAAAGGCAGAAGAGAATATTTTAAATATCCTGGCTAGAGGTTTTGTTTTTTTTTTTTTCTTTTTCTGCATTGGTCGTCGGCGAGTGACCCAGGGGCAACCGCCGACGCGCTCTGAGCGGTCCATATTATTATTTTGTTCATGCTCATTCCGCATCCACGTTAGCCTGAGAGTCATTTTATGCAGTGCTAGCGTTGCCTGTCTGGTATGTATTATGTATCAGCGTTACATACAATACAACCCCCCGGCACCAAGGATCAACCGTGGCAGCGCCAAGAATAAAATTTTCCATTGCAATTTGATTTGCCGTCATTCACACTTTTAATAATTTGCCGACAGGATTTTTGAATTTTTCTCGACCCGACCTAGGACTTGTGATTTGATACTAGCACGCCTTTCGTTGAAGCCATCTACATCTTTTCTGTCAAGGTGCAGCTTGAAAGCTTGGGATGGAAACACATGATGAAATCGCGCCATGAGCTCTCACTTCAAGCCCCCACGTCGTGGCCATCAGAAGCATCTAAATGCCCAGCCGTGGAGCAATTGTTCCCCCACAAGTCACCAGGAGTTGTATTTGAATACTCCGTACGACAGATTTATATTACAAGCTTCTCTTATTAGCTTTGGAACCCTGTCAGGCTGTGGCCTGTGATTGAGCGACTGGGGATATTGAGGCTCAAGGGATTCTGGTGTGGAGGCGGGCTTCTGCCAAAGACCGTCCTTCCTTGCTTTTTCTTTCCTATCCAGTCTCCACAACGATGAGAGCTGGAGAGGCGCTTGTGATAAACGATCCCGTGCGTCTTTCAAAGTCGGGTTAGTCGCAAACCCATTATTATTTTCTTCCCGGGAATTCCAAGGTTTTCACTCTCGCTTCCGGGCAGCTGTCGCCTTATTTCTCACATCGGCCGTTGACGGCAATCTTTTTTCGAAACAAGCCATCAGCAGTGGCACTCAAGGATGCCCCTTGACAGGAGGGAACAAAGACCCTGAGTCATGAAAATTCAATTTAACTAATTGAGATAGCTTCATAAGCGCCGAGTTATATCTGTTGCTTGGGACAGGGGGGCTGTCAGCGGAAGATTCAGACGGGAGGTCATGACTGAGACATTTCTTTTGCGTGAGAAAATCTAGAGCTAGCTAGCGGGGGATGTCGGTGATAACTACGGAGTACGAAGTACTTCGGAGGTTTTTGCAGCCGGCAATGATGTTCCTACAGCTGGGAATATCTCTCATCCATATTGTCTAGATCTAGAGTGAGGTAGCTTTACTACGTACAACTACCTAACCTTCAATGAATTTCGGCATGAATAATGTCCTGGCGAATATTACTTTTATATCGAAGCAGTTTTGAAATGCCTAGTGGATGAGAGAGACTCAAGCGTCCGCTGATTGGGCAAATACTCGAGCAACGGTTTATTTGGCTGAAATGAAACTCTCAAGATGGCTTCTGTTGGTGGCTTTTAACTGGACGAGCCACGAACAAATTTAAGTTACCGCCAGAGAAAGTCCGGTATGGTATCAATGGGCGAGCGCTCCAGAACGGTTTCCTGGACAGCCTTGGCATGCTATGGCATGGCAGCTAAGTTGGTGCGCCAATAGGGATAGATAACAGAAAGGTTACTTCTGCAGCTGTGATGTGCGAATTCACACAGATTTTTGTCTGGGCTGGTACCTGGAAGTGACACTTACTTCCGCCTAAATCCACCCAAAATCTGCCGAGCCGAGATGTCGTGCAATTTCGGTTATGAATGGGAACTAACTGCAATTGGGCTAGTGTCAGGCACCCCCGTTTCCCCACTACGCCTAGAGTAGCCTTAGCGCGCACCTGTCATGCGATGACATGACTAGGCAAGTACGATAACCCTGCTAGCGGTAAACTCGTGGCGTAACAATGGTATCGGCAATAATACACTGTTATCAACTGGGTTACGTTACGATGGCTGCTGCAGCCTCTTCTGCTGACCCTTTTCTTTCGCTCCTTCTCCTCCTCTTCTCCTCCTCTTCTCCTCCTCTTCTACTCCTTCTTCTCACTCCTTCACCTTCTTTTTTCCTTCCCACGCGGATTTCCTCTCGTTTTTTCTACATTCAGAGTCCTACTTCAGGCTCTAGTCACTCTTTTCACAGGAAAAAAAAAAAAAACGGATCTACTTCTGTTCCAAAATCGTTTAATTCTTACCCCACAATCCAGAAGTGTATCGTCGCGATATACCTTATTCAATAACTCTTCTCAAAACTTCTCAAACGCAATCGCGAATATGAAGTTCATCGGGGCCGTTGTCGCTGCTTTTGCGGCTCTCGCAGCTGCTGCCACTGACCCTGACTACTCACAACCCCCATTCGGCAACCCCATTGCTTCGCCAGGCTTGAACGAGATTGTACCAGTTGGAGAGCCATACACCATCAAATGGACACCTACCACTGACGGCGAAGTTTCGCTCATTCTCCTGCGCGGCCCCAGCACCAACGTTAAGCCAATCGGTGTCATCGCTGACACTATTCCCAACACTGGTTCTTATGAATGGACCCCCTCCACCGATCTCGAGGACGACGTCACGCACTACGGCATCCTGCTTGTCGTTGAGGGAGTCGGCTTTTACCAATACTCTACCCAATTCGGCATTAAGAACGACGGCAGTCCACAGCCCACCGACCAGCCCACCGACGAGCCATCTTATACTCCCACTCCTACTCCCACAGACGTTGCTACTGGATATCCTACCACCACTACTACTCGTACATTAGTTCCTATCTCCACTGGCACAACTACTATTTGCCCACCCACAAAGGCTCCTACTCCTATCCCATCAGGACCGGTTCCTTCCGGTTACCCAGGCGCCCCCAGCCCGACACCAAGCCAACCACCATTTGAGGAGGGTGCTGCCGGCCGCAACGGTGCCGCCATTGGTGGCATCGTTGTTGCCGCTGCTATTGCCATCTTTGCCTTCTAAATACTTTATTGTGTGAACCCTGCGTTTACCTAAGTTAACGCAGGCCGTTGGAGTAATGGGGGGGAGAAAAGGGGGGAGAAAGGGGGGGAGGGGAAACAATCATGAAAAGAAAATACAAAAACAAAAACAAAAACAGGTTTCTGAAGTCTATTTCTTATTTTGGAAGGAGATGGGATGGGACATGTTCTTTTCCTAATACCTATCTTCTCTTTTACAAGTCAATGGGATCATGAATATTGCAAACAGGCTTTGATATGAATAGCGAAAGCGGGAAGGATTATCTCTTTTTCAATTTCTCAGCGCTTCTATATGGCTTTTACCTTTGACATGTATCATGTACTGTAGTCACAGCAGACGCGACGGCCCCTCGCCAATCTTTCATTTTCAAAGCACGATCTTGACCCTGACTAACCTGATCGAAACCACTCCAAATTCAAGAACGATTTCAAAAACCGTTCCAATCTCCTTCTCATTCGAATGCATTCCTAATCCTGTTGCATTTCTTACGCTTGAGTATTTTCTTTTTTATCTTGTTTTCGGCTTTATTTCCAGACGTTATGATGGTCTCCTTTTTTTCTTTCCATTTCGGTGTGATAAGTATTGATTCCAACACTCCATACCCTGTTCAAATTTCCAATTTTATCTCTAATATTTTATTAAACAAGCGGCTAATATATCCCATTCATCCTCACCTACTCAGAAATACATACGCTCGTCTCAATAGGTAGATGTATATATATACGGAGTATATCTATATCCCTAATAGGGCTAAGATTTTAAGTCCCATGAATCCATCGAAGCTTATTTAATGTAAACAAATCTTCAGTTCCCTTTGTGTATCACGGCTATATCTCTTTCAATAAATAATACAGAAAGCATTATCAATCCCTCCCCAACGGCGATAATGAATTATTACCGAAGGTGCCCTTCCACAACAGAGAAAACCCCGTCCATCCCACCCCACCCTCCAGTCGTTGCCTCCCCTTGGGTACAGGAGTTCCACCCTGGAAAAAAGTGTGATTTGATGATTTTCAGCCTCATCACGCTTTGCCTCAACTCATCCCCGCCCAGTCAATGGCCGGCTCCACGACCCACGGACCACGAGGTCGTCGAAAATCTTCGTGAAAGAGCGACAATACTGACAAAGGAAAGACCAACCAACATACGCTGTACTCCGTATACGTTGGTATTTTCTTTTCTTTTCTTTTCTTTTTTTTTTTTTTTTCGCGAACCGCGGTGCAGTGTAGTGTGGTACAGTGTGGTACACCAACCGTTAGATACATCATCGGTGCTTGCGTATTGACATCAAACCCCGCTCTGGAAACCGAGCGCGGGAGCCAATGGGGGGAACAAAGATGAAGAGATAAAGAAAAGCAAAGAGAGAAAGAAATCATTAACGGAAGAAAAGGAACTGGTGAAATTTATCAATGGATATGGCCTCATCAAGGAGAAGAGCACAAATGTCTACAGACATCTGTACTGTACTGTACTGTACTGTACTGTACATACATTGGTTTAATTCAAAAAATGTTGAAAAAAGCGAGGGGAAAATAAAAAAAATACAAAAAAATGTAGAACACATGAGTGAGTTGGGGAAGTTACAAATAAGGTGGACTCAACAATTCAAGGGAACCTCAAGAGAGGGCCTGTGGAGGACAGGGGATTGATGAACGATTGGGTGGGTGAATTGGGTAGTTTATTCTA